TTATTTTTGGAAAGTGTGAGATACATGATCCGATATAAAATATTGCAGATAATGAATTGTTCCCGGACACAATTGTATTACTTATCATAAAATTTTTTATACTGAATCACTTCGAACTCCTTTAATATTTTTTTCAAGAAATATTTTGAAAGAATGATACATTTCCAATGAAATACTTATGGAAAATGTGCCCATTGTATAGATCGATCCACTTTAATATTTGCATATTGAATATGCAAAGGTGTTCCTTTTGGTTATAACTAAATAAATATATAAACAGTAAATCAAGTTTTTGCATATACATATAGCATGTATAAAGCGTAAATACATTTCTCTAAATCTTGATATATAGAGCTTGTTTTTAAAATATTTGTTTTGTTGTCGCCTGGAAGCTTGTTTTGACAGAAGTAATATTATTTATATCGCTTTAAAATGATACAGTCGTCACAGGATCGTTAAACAAAGGCACATCTGTTTGTCTATATTAGTTTATGTATGCTTAAAGGAACTTCACTGAGGTCATAAAACCTTAAAACATGTTTTTAGTTCTTACTCAGATCAAGTGAAGCATTTAAAGTAAAGGATGATGAAAATATGCTCAAAATTAAATCGAATATCGACATTTCGTGAGATTCTTAATTCGATTTGAATGAAAAGCAACAAAAAGCATTGATTTTCATTTTGGAGACATTTTGCACCATAAATGATTCTGGAAAAAAAAAGTTAAAGGAATAATCTGAAAACTTGCACACAAGTTATTGGTCTAAACCGACATTAAAATGTACACAAATCTTGGTAAAATATTTCATGCCAAAAAAACCTCAGTAGAGTCCCTTTAAAAATCTCTTTCATGATGTTGTTACAATTTTCTAGCCCTTCAGCATTGATTCCAATAATTATAATGCTGAAGATTGATTAATACCGTAGCCGGTGCTAGGGGGCATGCCAGATGCTTGTGCAATTTAATTATCTCTCATGAACATAAATTTTTAAACCGAGTCTACAATTTTTCTGTGTTCTCGAGGAACATCCATTTAACAGGGGTTTAAATCAAATCACCAGAAAGAACATTGCATACATTTAAAATTTGTCTTAAAGTGTTTGACGTTCTAATCCTATACAGTTGAGTTAAAGTCTTAGTAAATAAACAGAGGTACACGTTTAATTGTGACATTAATTAAACTTCTGATTAATTAAGTAAGTTGTTCAAGTAAATAAATATCAACAGCGACAATATGGTAGGCACCAGATATGACGAAGATAAAACCTTTTCACACATTATATATTTTACTACTAATTTTTACTATATTTATTCATTTTATTTGAAAATAATCCAGAATAAAAAAGTATTTAACGCATTTCAATTTAGATAGATTTTCAGTTGGCCACAATAAGCTATAAAAGTCATATTATTATGATGAAGTGCCTGTTGGTATTAATATTTATATGGTCGTTGCTATGACATAAATTTAATTAAATTGCACGCTAAATAATGTAATTTTCTTAGCCATACACTTAAACATTGTAATAAATGACAAATTTGCAATGCATCATTAAAACTAGAAATGGTTTAATATCTAAAGTAAACCATATGCATAACTGAATTCAAAGAAAATAAAACTGTAACGAATTTTTACTTTTATGAGTCTGAATTAATTTACGATTTCTAGGCGTTTCATGACAATGATTTTATATGAGAACAGTTTTAATTGCTACACACGCATATATTTATACGAAATTATTTCCGTATACAATATAACACCGTACGACGGAAAATGCCGTAAACCGAAGTTACGTTATTTTTTTATTATATATAAAACCTATTGTAAATATTAATTAATAATGTGCAAAATTATTTGTAGTCTCGAATTTTGTGGTTGATTTATTTATTTATCTTTAGAAAATTACAACCTATATGACAGAGTTTTTTTTATTTAATAAGAGACAAAATGAGAATTTTTTGTTAAATTTCAATAAACATTTTTATTTTCTTTACTCAGTGGGTGAAGTATTGTTTAAACACCTCTAAAATCTAGAAAAGAGGGGATCTCTCGGATCACTGAAAACAATACAATTATATGAAAATTGCAGACTCGGTTTGATTGAGTCTGTACATGAGATAATGAAAAAGTGCGACATCTCCCACGCACCCTAGCACCGGCTAAAGCGATATTCAATGTACTGGAAGGACCAGAAAAAATATTATAACACTGAAGTGAAGAAAGGGGCAACTTTTTAAACCTACATATATGATGCACATGTGGGTGTGACAAAAATGAAAAATATAAATGAGCCGCGTCACGACAAAACCAACATAATGGGTTTGCGACCAGCATGAATCCAGCTCAGGATCCATGCTGTTCGCTAACAAACCGTATAACAAGTAGAGAAACTGATAGCGAACAGCATGGATCCTGATCAGACTGCGCGGATGCGCAGGCTGGTCAGGATCCATGCTGGTCGCAAACCCATTATGTTGGTTTTGTCATGACGCGGCACAAATATCGTCGATTAACGTAACAGGAAAAATAGTCATAGATCTAATAATAATAATCATTCTTAAGGAAGTTACCGAATGTCATAACGGAACATTTACGACAACCGATTTCGGAATTTAATGTGACTCTAAATAAATACTAATAAAACAATCGATGAAAAGATGGGGCAAAAACAGCCGAATGACACAGTACGTTTTTAATGACTTAATTCCATTTCATTAACATTGACACAATTCTAAGGCAACAGGTTTTTTGTCTTTAAAGTAAGAGACTCAAACACCTTCCAAAATTTAAAAATGTCAGTGTCCAAAATGAGGGAAAATGGGGGAAAAAGGAATTCCATCCAAGTTCTATATGAAAAGGGGATATATAACGCTTAATGGCTTTTTCAGCTAAATATTTAAATATAGACGTAGATATCAGCTCATATGATGGTTTTATTATTATACGATACGATACATCAATCACATAGAAGAAGAATATGTTATAACATTGTGAAGGTATACACGCTGATTAACATATGTTCAGATGACAAGTAATGACAGCTCTAAAGTCTATATTGACGGAATTGTCACGGCTAGACATTGTTAATAATGTCTTAAACGTGTCAAATGGTTGTTGGGTAATTTAAATCCATGTTCATAATATAATACTTTCATCAATGTTTTATAACCTATACCGTTTTATTTTTTCTAAACTCCGTCAAGAAAATAAATAAATAAATAAATAATAATAATAATAATAATAATAATAATGATAAATAAAATAATAATAATAATATATTAATAAAGATAATTATAATAAATAAATAAATAAATAAATAAATAAATAAATAAATAAATAAATAAATTAATTAATTAATAATAAATAAATAAATTAATTAATTAATTTATAAATAAATGATTTAATTAATAAATAAATTAAAGATCCTGTTACACAAATTTTTTTATGCTTTTATATCACAAATATGATGTTCAAATTAAGATTTATCAATTTTGTAAGTTATAAAAAGCATTATTTATAAAGATATTACCGAATTTAACATTTCATGTAAATAAAGGGAGGTAATAAAAAAAATTATTTCTATAAAGTCTAAGTCAAATTTTTCAATAAGAAATGAATGCATATATTTTAATGATTACATATAATATGTATATATTTGCAGTACATATTTTACATATTCCTCGATGTTTGAAAATTGTTTTATAAGCATAATTATATACATATATGTATACTTTCACTTAAGTGTGGTATACAACCGCAATTACAAATCAAAGCACAGAAGGCGCTGAATTTGTTTGGGTCTCAGAATGTAAGAAAGGTGCAGGTTGTGAGATTATAAACCAATTTGTTTTTGTATAGTGCCACCAATGCTTTCCAGCGTTTTAATTGTAGTAAATTGGCTATAAGACTAATTGCAACACTGATATTCAATCCAGTGTTTATTTGACTTAAACAATTTGAAAAAAAAAAGAGTTGCCTTAACTGGGATTTGAACTCCAGACCTCTCGCTTCCTAACACAGATGTAAATAATCATGGAGCTTACTATAAGCATGTATATCTATAAAGAATAAAACAATATTAGAAATCTTCGATTATTCGGGAATTATTTTGCTTGAAAATTAATGCGCCTGTCATTTGACCATCTTCACGCAGTGATCTCCCCTGATTTTTTCGGCGTTAGTGTACATATAAAGGGAAGTAACCGCTTAAAAAAGCGGACTACTTTCGGCATTTGCAATAAACAGCATTAGAGTCTGAAATTTCGCTACCATTATTTGTTTGGTCTGACGACCCAAACAAATAAAAACAGAATTTTTAATGAATGAATGAATGAATGAATGAATGAATGAATGAATGAATGAATAAAAAAATAAATAAATAAATACATAAAAATAATAACAATAAAAAAAGTAATCATCATCATCATCATCATCATCATCATCATCATCATCATCATAAAAATCTCAAGATCTTGTATTCTGGTTTGATAAATTATAACTGGTGAGTAGTGATACAAATTTAAGCTTATCTCATCGATGAAGTCTGACCGGGCTCTATAGATACTGTTCCTGATATTTTTAGTATTCTCTGAAACCTGGAATGGACCGAATCAAATACATGTAAGCAGGACAAATCTTTACACAAATTCAGCACGCTAAGGTTTTAAATGCTCATAATGCTTTTACCTTTATTTCTCATAAACTTTTTATTTTGTTGTGTGTAAAATCTTACTTCTTTAGGAAGGGCAAATATGAGTTTTATAACTGTTAAATAATGGTTTTTAGAGTGTGTTAGATGATTTTCAAATGAAGAAAGTGACGCTGAATAAGAAATAATTTGTCATAAAAGTAGCAAAATGTAATGAAGTAGTAGTTTGACTTCCAAACAAAATACTAAGTTTTTATAACTGTACTTAATTAATTTTGCCAAAAAGTATCAAGAAGCAAAAGATGATTCAGTTAATTAGAAAATATAACAGGACATTAAAAATAAAGAAAGCTTTTGAAAAATAAAAGTAAAAGCACAATGGGCCTTTAAACCATATTTCCTAAAAAATCCTTATACATGTACATGACGAATTTAATATAAAAATGTCTTGTATTTTTCAGATTCTGACCTATCCAAACAACAAACCTACCAAACTTCTCGGTACACAGTAAGACATTGGTAAATAGGTGTATAGCAAAATAACCGCCGACTTTCGAATCAATTCCCGACAACTGTAGGTGGTTAAAAGAACAAACGTTTCCACATTGTTTTTCAAGGAGCTGACGCAGAACTATTTCCTAATTCACCATGTTGATTAAATAAGCAAAACAACTCGATATTAAACGAACAAATGCAGGGCAAGATTAACACAGTGTCGAATATTTCGTGTTTATTGTCTACCTTTAAACGCAATTCTAAGAAATGTGTAATTGTTGTCGGCTTTCTGGCAATGTTTGCTATGGTGTTAATGATACAATATATAAATGAAACCCAGAAAAGACAGATTTTAATCTTCAACTCAAGAAAAATAGCTAGTATTACAACCGCAAACAATGGAGTGCTGTCCAGAGTAAACCCAGTATATAGAGCACCGACCGAACAGCTAAAGGTCAAGGTCGTTACAAGCTCGTTCGTATCTAAAATAACTCCTAAACCAAATTTAAAACGTCTCATAAATGCTACTAAAACCAAATATCCATTAACTGTGAACGCTCCGTACATGATGGAAAATCCGGAACTTTGTACGTCAGTTCGGAATTTATCAGTTCTAGTGATTGTGCACACGGCACCAGATCATTTTGAAAGAAGACAAGCTATGAGGGACACGTGGCTGAACGACACGTACTATTCGCATTTGGGCAGTGCGCGCGTCCTCTTCTTGCTAGGACGTGTTAAAAACAAGGAGCTTCAGATGAAATTAGAAATGGAATATAAAGCGCATCGGGATTTACTTCAAGGTGACTTTATTGATGCATATAGAAATTTGACACACAAGGGTGTTATGGGATTCAAATGGATATCAGAGAAATGTAGAAATGCAAAATATATCCTTAAAGTAGACGATGATGTGATAGTAAATATGTTTAAGTTTTTCATAGAATATCTGCCGAAGTATAAAGGCAAAACAAAACAAATATTATGTAATCATATTTACCCAGGAACAATGTTAATCATTAGAGAACGAAAGAGTAAATGGTATGTCGACGAAAGCCATTTTAAAGGACAGAAGTTCTACCCCAGGTATTGCAGCGGTTTTATGGTTATGTTTACAAATGACGTCATACCGGCCATTTATAGATCTGCGTCACTGACGCCATTTTTTTGGGTTGACGATGTCTATTTATATGGGCTGGCTCCCGGAAATGTACCGGGGATACATTATAATGGTTTAAAGAAAGGGAGCCATCAGTTAAATGGCCAAAGTGCAATTAAATGCTATAGAAACGCTTCTCGGGCTTGTGACTTTCTGGTAGCAGGTGCTGGAAAACGTGAAGTTATGGTGGAGATTTGGTCAAATATGGTCAATCTTCACCAAAAATATCTCATGGAAAAGAGACTACTGACGACGGAGCAAACAACTTTTCAGTATGATACAAGCACAGCTTCTAGTTCATTTGAAAATAATAAATCTGTGAAACAAATTTCAGATGAAAAAGCTAAACTCGATCTCATAATGAAAGGTAAACAACTTATTGTAGGAAAGCTGGTAAATAAATTAGAAACCGGAAACGGAAATATATGATACTCGGCGTGTAAGTAGGCCTATATACAGACGACAATGTTTCAGAATGAATTTAGTGTCTCTTGCAAAACCATTTTATTAATATCATTAGCTCAACTTCAGCATTCTTGTTAAATTTGTTAAATACATAATAGAATGTTTTACCGGAATGATTTATTTTATTTCTCATCTGCTTGTTACTTATGTCACGTGTTATTTATTTCTTGTCATGCCATATTTATATATTGTTCGTTAGTTGTCCTTACAAGTGAATACACGTTGTAATAAAAATATTTTGATTCTAAAAAAAAGTCGCTGTTTGTCTTATTACAAAATAATACGAATATGTTGCATAAGAGAGGTCATCGTTTTATTCATTACCATCTGCGGATGCTATTAAATATCACTATGTTTCATATATATTCAGTATTGAGTGACATTGCTCTCATAAATTAAAGCATCCCTATCATGAACAAGATCTGTAAATCATTTACCTTCAAGCAAGGATCATACGTTTTTTTTCTTTAAAAACATGGCATTTATTTTACAATTGGGAGTTGTAAAATGTTTTGAACTTAAATTGTTTGGGCGTTTATATGCAATTAAGACGAACAATGCTGGGCGAGTGCAATTATGCACAATATCAAAGTTAGACTGAATACAGACATCATATTGTTATGATAATACACTAGACAATTAAGCAAAATGAAAACCAATTAAAACAAAAATTATAACAAAAAATACGAATCTGCCTAACGTTCAAGGTAAAAGAATTTATGACGGAAATGGCACTTACAGCCCACCATGGCAATTATTTAAATTAAATAAACATTTTAACATAATATTATTAATTACCTGTGTTAGGTGTAATTTCCTCATACTTCCTCTTTGTCGCGGTGATATGTAATAATATACCACAGGTTCACTGCTTTGCGTGATTGATAATGACCTATTTATAGTAACAAGATATCTTTATAAATCTCTTTTACGTGACAATTTAGCATTTCTCTCACCCATCGGTGCATGCACGTCGTGGACATCGGCAAAAGATTTCGATATTGGACCAAGGACACCCTGACCGGTTAAGATCCGAGCGTTGTTTTTGTACACAGAGGGCAGATCCTACCACCACATTGTGTACCACATTGTACGAACCAGCTGCCAATGTCCATATTGAAGCCGAGGAGAGAAGGACTTTACAGTTGGAAGGGGACGACGAGGAAGGGTCTAATATTCCGTTGAAATTGCACGGAGGTTAATAATCACCATCAGGCGCTTTAAAATTAAACTTATGGGAATGACTGGTGACATGTGAGATAGCAAAGGCTTCTTTTTGTGCATTAACGGGCGGATGGACCCTCATTAAACATAAATATCATCCATTTATCCATCAAGCAATTGGCATACGAGCGAATTCTAGGGGACGATATTAATCTATACAATATAAGTATGTTATGAGCATTTTGCACTTCCTTTATCACTGATTCCAATTATTCGTCCAAAGAAGTTGACATTTTTTATTATAATGGGAAAAATATGGAACATTTTATTCATGGTGAAAGCCAACGAATACATGATGTGATAATTCTGACAATTTAAAAGGCGGATGTCAGCGGACTAACTGCATTCACTTCCGTTTACACGGTTCATACAAAAAATTCTATATATATTTCTTATTTTGGTAAATCAGTCTTTTGTAAAGTATGAGGTATATATTACAAACATTGTATCGGTTCTTGCGATAGACTCATATCATTGTTACATTTTGTCAAACTCCGCACACCGGTTACGCTACGGCCACTACACACTGAACTGTAATTTATATGTATTATCTCTTGTTGTTTTGGAAATAAACGATGCGATGTTAAAAAATTATTTTCATAATATTTATGTTTCCGAAATTATTTTTATTTTACTTCACATCTAAAACCTAACGGTCTTGAACCATTGCAAAACCGTCTTTACTTTTGAAAATAAATATCAAAATTGAAAAAAATTGATATTGTCAAAAATCTTGAGATGGCAGAGATCAAATCTTTTAAAGGAAAATTACTGCGTGGGAGATTGATACTTTGTATCAATACGCGGGGTACGCGTTCATAACAATTTATATTAGCACTTTCCGTGTCTTATGCAAATGATTTAAGGTCTCAACCCGGTACGGAATTAGACCCAAACCGTTGTAGTCTCGAAAATAGTTCTTTAAAACAATTTAAGTCATCTCTAGTTAGATTGGTCATAATTAAAGTGTATTTATTGCATGTGTGTATAATTTTTGTGTGTTATATGGTGACTTTAAAAGTTGTTTTTTGTGTATTCTCCAGGAACTCATTTGTTGGCGGAAGGCTTAAATATGTACTTCCAACCAGCAGTCAGGAGTTTTCAAAGTGGCGAATTTAAACAGTGTAAAACAGAATGAAGATTTCTGGAAAAAAAGTAGATGGCTAACCTATTATATTTCGGGCCCCATTTGACTTAGATAGTGTTGATGTTTAAAGTTGAAGACAGTATATAATTCATCAAGAACAGTGGAATCCAGAATTAAGCCACAAATGTGACTGATTTACTATAGAACAAAGAATACGAAAATTCACCTGGCCGACACCTTTATTGCATCATAATGGCCTGGAGTAAGGAAAACATCTCGTCATGTAAACGCTCATTGAACAATGTAAGATTGCAATAGTCACGAAATCAATCATCACTAAATCCATATCACTAAATCTTTGCTGACCACAAAACGGGATTGCGTCGCTATGATTTTCGATGGAATATAAAAAAACAACAAATATTTTTCCTTTTATATCAAACTGGAATTCGTCATTTCATTTTCAACATAAAAGCAATTTAATCATTAGTAAAAAAGTTGGCATGAGGATCATAAGAATTATATATACATATATTCGTTGGGTTGCATTTTTACAGTGATAAAGTATGTGTCATTTAGGCGGACAATATATATTACTTACATAATATTGTCTATGCCTTTAAACATTTAATTTACGAGATATTTTCGCAATAAAACAAGTCTTGCCTACGAGGAATCGGAAATGAGCATTAACTTAATGAGTTTATAATGGTGCATAGCACAATCAAGTACGGGTTACTTTACATTAATCTTTGTATTTTTTCATATGAAATGTCGTCTGTTTTTACAATTTATGCGATTACGTCATGACCATTTGGCTATGTTATGATCTGACCCTAACTTCTACTTGATACTCCCGAACAATCAATGAGTAGTATATGGCTCGGAGGCATTGTCAGGGCTAAACAGGGTTAGTATGAAGTTGTATTTCATTTACGTGCAGCAATTAAAAGATAAAAGAAAGCGGGTAAAACAGCTGATAATATTTCTTTTTGGGAGACACTTACGACAGATGATTGGATTTTAAACACTATTAAGGGCTGCAGTGCCGAAATAACAGAAAAACCTAAACAAATTTTAATTCCGACTCCAATAAAATTTTCAAAAGACGAAACAGAGAAAATACGAAATGAACTAAATCGGTTTTTAAAATGCGGCATTATCGAACAGGCACCAAGCAATACGCGTAACGAATTTATTTCTACATTTTTTATTTAGACCAAAGAAAGACGGACGCGTGCGTATTATATTGAATCTCCGACAATTTAATGAACGGTATGTTAGCAAACTTCATTTTAAAATGGAATCATTGAGATCGGCAGTTAATGCTATGCGGAAAGACGGATATATGGCTTCAATTGACATTTCGGACGCCTATTATTCTATCAAAATCCGGGAACTGATCGTAAATACTTTAGGTTTCTATTCAATGGTATAAAGTACCAATTTACTGTATTAGTAATGGGTTATTCCTGCAGCCCAGAATTCTGGACTAAATTAATGAAACCAGTGTTTGCTTATCTAAGGTCAATAGGTCACACGAGTGTATACTTTATTGATGATTTCTTGGTTATTTGCTGATAATTTCCATTCATGATTGAAAAAATGTCCGGGAAACGGTAAAACATTAATGGACCAATTAGGACTAACAGTTAATTTGAGCAAATCGGTTTTTATTCCCTGTACAAAAATTACATTTTTAGGGTTTATCTTGTGCTCAGTAAGTATGACTGTTCGACTTACAGTGGAAAAGATAAACGATATCGTTTCACTGTGCACAGACATACTGCATAACAGAAGAATAACTATTCGCCGGTTCGCAAAATTGATTGGAAAAACTTAATGCAGCAGAACCGGGGGTTAAACATGCTCCGTTGTATATAAGACCGTTTGAAAAGGTAAAAGAGTATCAATTAAAATTACATCACGGAAATTTTGATAGTTTTATGACTATACCACAACTTTTAAATACACAAATTACACTGGTGGATCACTAATGCTAAAAATAGTTGTAAACCTGTTTCAGTGGAGACTCCTTCCATGGTTATATATACTGATTGCTTCTCAGAAAATGTACGGATTTACAATAAAACTCACAATATTGAAACCAATGGTTTTTGGTCAACAAAGGAACAACAATTACATATCAATGAATTAGAATTACGAGCTTGTGAAATAGGTTTACACACTTTCTGTCAGAATATTTCTAATTCACATGTCAGAATATATACCGATAATACAACTAGTTGCGCATATATCAACAATTATGGGGGAAGAATTGAGTCGCTTGACAAATTAGCACAACGGCTATGGTTTTGGTGCATCAATAAAAACATTCATGTGTCAGCTTCCAATATAGCTGGAATTGCAAACACACGCGCTGACAGACTCAGTAGAACTGGAAATGATGACATCGAATGGTCGCTCGATCCTTATATTTTTTTCGAGTCTGTTCAATAAATTTCCCGGTATGAAAATTGATTTATTTGCATCCAGGTTAAATAAAAAACTAAACTTTTTACGTTTCTAGATATCCGGACCCAGATGCATACGCCGTGGACGCGTTTTCCATGACATGGACAGGTCAATTATTTTACATATTTGCTCCTTTTCAGTTTGATGGGGCGCATCCTACAAAAGATAGAGGAAGACAAAACGCAGGCAGTCATCATAGCACCAGTTTGGCCTACACAGGCATGGTGGCCAACTCTGATAAACTTAGTAAGAGGACCGTGCTATCTCCTACCACAACCAAAAAACATATTAAAACTGGAACACAAACCAGAAATGAAATATCCGTTGACAAAAACAAATCTGATTGCTTTCGATATATCAGGGCAGCCCTTCGAAAGCAAGGAATACCACAAGTCGCTCAAGAACTCATTATTAAATCTTGGCGGGACAGCACAAGAAAACAATATAATACGTACATTACGAAATGGCTTCATTCTTGCGAACGGCAAACAAATCCCTTTAAACCTAATATACAAATAGTCTGGAGTTCCTTCCCCTTTCGCTACGCAATATAATACTTGTTAGATGCCGGGAACCAGAATAATATACAAACAGTAGTACAATTTCTCGCTCAGCTATTCTCGCGAGGTTTAAGTTATACGGCAATTAATACCGCAAGGTCGGCAATTAGCACCTTCGTGAAGATAACGGGTAAAGTGGATATACACTCTGATGAGATAATTAGCAGGTTTATGAGAGGTATATTCAACGAGCGGCCTGCACTGCCCCGGTATAACGCAATTTGGGACGTTCAAGTTGTTTTGAAATACCTGGAAAACATAGATACGTCATCATTGTTATTATTGTCCGGAAAATTGTGTTTGTTGTTTTTACTAACTACAGCACAGAGATGCCAGACTTTACATGCGCTCAAAATCTCAGATATTAACATTTATACGGACAAACTTGTGATTAATATATCTAGCGTTTTGAAACAGACACGACCAGGCGTGCATTTAGATCCAATAATATTAAAAGCATACTATCAAAATAAAAAACTCTGTATAATAGAAACAGTCAAGGAATACATTGACAGAACCCAGCCACTTAGAAATGGTACAGATTCATTGCTAATTTCCACGGTTAAACCGCATGGCTCAATATCTAAGCAAACTGTTGCACCGCTGGGTCAAACTCATAATGAGAAACAGCCGGTATTTCAGAGACATTTAAGCCACATAGTACCAGATCAGCTTCTACATCTTATGCGTATAGCAAAGGCGCGTTGTTAACAGATATTGTGAAAAACGCCGGTTGGAGTAATGCTAAAACATTTGCCAAATATTACAACAAACAAATAACTACAGACATTAGTGCTATTCAAACGAAAGTTTTGATGTCATCTTAATAATCTAGTAAACATTTAAAGCCTTCCGGTGCTTATTGGGACATACTTGTATATTACTTTAGTGGAATCAAAAAAAAAAAAAAGAATGTTTCTGATGTACATATATACCTATATATTAGCTTTTATATTAGATCTATAAATACATGAATTTGCATCATATTGTGTTCTTTCCTTCTCAATATTGTATAAGTAATCCACTCTGAACAATCTGTGGGGCCCTTAAGGGGGTTTATGTGTTGGATGAAATTAAATGATTAAGCGAGACTTACCTTTGGAAAAGGGAAGGCGAAGGTTGATCATGATTTCATCCGACACAAAACCCCCTTAGGGCTCACACGCCCACCCACGACCACCCTGAATAAGATTTCTTATCAATATTGTATAGATTTATGTGATCTTTAAAATATGACTAACCTGGCCGCTGCAATTATAACTGTCTCTGTCTTGTCCTCTTCGATTTTTTGTAATATGCGCGACATCAGGCTGAAAGGAGGAAACATGTAATATAAACATTTATTCCAAGAAATTGTAAAAGCATCAACAGCAAATGCGTTTTGTTCTGGATATCTAGTTACATATTTTGGCAATTTTGCATTAAGTCTTGAAGCAAATAAATCAATTTCTAATCGTGGAAATTTCATTCTTAGTTTTTGAAAAATTGTTTCACTTAATGACCATTCTAAGTCGTCGTTTCCATTTCTGCTTAAACCGTCTGCCTGTTTATTCGACACGCCAGGCACGTGACACGCGGATAAATGTATTTTTCTTTTCAATACACCAAAACCAAATTCGTCGCGCAATACAATCTAAATTTTTTATTTTTCCACCCAAACGATTTATATATGTACAACTAGTTGTATTATCAGTGTGAAGACGGACATGCGTATTTGTGATATTTTTACAAAATGTCTTTAGTCCAATTTCGCACGCTTTCAGTTCTAAAACATTTATATGCATCTTTTGTTCGTCAACTGACCAGTATCCTTGGGTATTCAGATTATTGGTTTTATCATGAGCTCCATACATTTTTAATGAAGCGTCTGTGTAGATATTTATTGTTGGAGGTGTTATTGTTATTGTGTTAAAACTTTTCCGAAGGTTGTCAATCCACCATTGAATGGTATCAAATAACGTATTTGGAATAGACATAAATGAGTCAAAATTTCCAGAATGAATTTTGAGTTGTTTCTCTTTTATCTTTTCTAACGGTCTAATATACAAAGTGGCGTACCGGACCCCCGGTGATGCGGCTGTCATTTTTCCTATTAGTTTTGCATACTCGCGTATAGTTATCCTCTTTTTTCGTAAAAAATCGCAACAAATGTTAATGATGTCATCTTGTTTTTCTTCTGTTAATCGCACTGTCATAGTCTCAGAGCAGAGTATGAACCCTAAGAAAACCAACTTTTTTGCATGGTATAAGTACCGACTTTGATTCATTTATCGTAAGTCCCAAAACTGTCCATTAATTTTACTGTATCTATAACATTTTTTGAACAAGTTTTGAAAAGAATCTCCCATTAAACATGAATCATCTATAAAATATACGCTAACGTGGCCAAGTGCTCGTAGGTGTGCGAACACCGGTTTTTAAAACTTTTGTCCAGATTTTTGGACTTAGGGAATAACCCATAACCAGCGCGGTAAAATTGATACTTAATTCCGTCAAAGAAAAAACGGAAATATTTCCGATCGCTTTCCTTATACTAATAGAATAATATGCATCCGACAAATCGACCGAAGCCAAGTAACCGTCCTTCCTCATTAAACACAATGCTGATTGTAAAGTTTCCATTTTAAAATGTGATTTATCTACATAGTTAGTATTAAATTGCTTGAGATTTAAAATAATTCTAATGCGTCCATCTTTTTTCGGTCTAATAAAAAATGTTTGATATAAATTCATTTTCGATGTCATCCGTAGCTAATTCAATTATGCCGCAATTTAAGAAACGAGACAACTCCTGCCTAATTTTATCACACTCATTAACAGTAAAATTGATTGGTTTTGGAATTCTAGATTGTATTGGTATTGAGTTTAATGTAATTTCACATCCGCGTATTGTTTTTAAAATCCATTTGTCGGAGGTAATACTTTCCCATATATTTATATTTCCTTTAGTTTTTCCCGGCTTTGAAATTATTTTGTGTGTTTTGAAAACAAACTTTAAAAAGATTCACTTACTGAAATTACTTCTTCATGTTTTTCTGTATCCCTTTCCCCCTTTGTCTTCCTGTGTAATTTTGATTTGTTCGTGGAGGGTAGGCCATCGTTGTTGAATATTGATACTTGTTGAATGTTCGGTTCCGATTGTATGACCCCCTCCCCTTTTTCCTAAAAAAGGCTCCCGATTTGATGTAAGACTTGTTCTGTTTTCTTTCAGTTGCTTGATATTCTCGTTCAATTTATCTCCAAACAAATTTGTGGCCGAAGGTGTATTGTCGCAAAGTGGTTTGAAAATTGGAAGCAAATCTTTCTTAATTTTTTCCATGCGGTTTTCATTTGAACGCACAATGGTTTGGGCTAAACACTTAAATATGTCCCCAACTAGATCTTTCACCGTAGCTATCTGTGGTTGAGGTTGTTTTAATAATTCTAAGGCTTTCAATGTCGGTATCAGTGCCAAGCACATACCCTGTTGACATTTCTGGACAGCAAAATCATACGATTTTGTGTCCTTTTTTAATTGCTTCCATACTTGTTCGTCCACTCTTGGGATTTGTAAATTCTCCACATTTACTGGTCTTTTATGTTTGTCTTGTAATAGTTTTGTTTTCTCTGGTTTTGATTTTGATCTTAACGCTTTATTTGCTACATTGGCAAGATCCTCGTGGATAGCGTCCCCTGTTTCGTCTGCATTCTGGAAAAAATCTTGCAGCTCAGACCATTCTTCCCTGTCGGGAGCATCCCTACTTTCCTCCAGAAATTGGTCTAATTCATCATTATTGTCCGAATCACTGGAATCATTGCCTGATGAAGCTGAGGTCAATTTGCGTCTCTTTATTGTCGCTGGTGAATGGTCCCTATTTTGTTTGCGTTTAAGGTCATTAACCTCATTTGTTAATGTCTTCAATGTAGCGTTAATTGAGGTTAGGGAGTTATGCAAGAAGGTGTCTGACGTCACTGTCTCATTACCCATTTGTTCCAACCGTTCAAAGATATTGTTGGTTGTCTGTTGCGCATGCGTCCTCCCTGTACTTCCGCCCTGGCCTACGGCCAAGTCATGCTGGAAAACAATACATCTAGTCTAACTGACTGACAATGGATATATATCTATCATTAAGCAACAAGTGCAATAATATCGTACAAATTTAAATATCGTTATTGTAAGAAATTATATGATGTATATCCATCTATTACCAACTTAATTTGTACGTAAAACCATAGTTGTTCGATATTTAGGCTAATTTGACGTGTTATCCGTCTTTTTGCCGACCATATGAAAAATTTATCATAACGCGATGTATTTCCATCGCTAACAAAACCAATTGTTTGGCAATTTATTGACTTTGAATCTAATAACATACTGATTCGTTTTGTAGCATATTTGACGTGGTATCCGTCATGCCCCGTCCATTATGAACGGTCAATAACAACGCGATGTATATCCATCGCTGTTGTGTGTTTTGAACAGTTGAACGTGGTATCCATTCATAAACTGTTTCCATATTGCAGAATTTTAATTTTTGTGACGTGGTATCCATCACTTATAATTTTATGTATCAATGAATCTTCGATAAAACTTGCCTCTGCTTTTTATAATTGTTATAATTTGTAAAAATTAATATTACAACAAATAAAAAGAAATCTAAATAATAACGTTTAAACATACCTCGTTGTCATTCTCATCCATTTTTATTATTGTCCAATTTTTCACTATCCTCAATAAAAAAATTCTTTGATATATGTTTTGTTTTAGAATATTGTAACGTGTTAACCTTAGCTGCTGAAGCCTCGTAATGAATACCTTGGCTGCTGGTAGCTGCGTTCCTAATCTGTGGGGCCCTTAAGGGAGTTTATGTGTTGGATGAAATTCATGATAAAAGTTAGATGTTCACCGAATTGTAGCTATTCGGCTTTTCCCGTCATCCCATCAAAATAGTTGTTCTGAATATCTGAGGTCGTGTCGTATAAAAATCGCCAGCCCGCTAAACTCATTCGGTTAGAGCATCTCGACAATGTGGGTTCGATTCCCGGACTAGCCAACTAAAATTATTAATCCATCTTTCGGATGACACTTTAACTCGAGGTCCCATGGTATGAGTGCTTAAACACATGTCACGTTAAAGAACCAGATTTGGGCATCTTTCTGTATCTATATCTTGTACTATCCTCCAAAATATAAAATGACTAATACTCTTCTGGAGGACTCGCCCATATAGGCAACCGGTGGCGAGTATAAATAAACTCAAATACACATGCACTCGTATAAAAATCATTAAGCCAAGCCATAAAGGGAGACAATAAGCGATCATTCAAGAGTTATCCCTAAATGATATTACTTTCATTGCTATTAAGTTATTAACAGCAACATTTTGTTTAAAGAAACCCTCAAACAAAATGGTGATACTTATACAGTTTTTGTTGCTACTTTGTTTTATTAAATCTTGAATTTCTAAGGTGTGTTCTTTTCTGATTTTTATAAGTTTCACTGTTGCCTGTTTTGTACTTCATTAAAGATTATTTTAAAAGTCAGTGTGCTAAAAATTACAATTGAATTATTGAATTATGTAAGATGCTTTCCGAATTCGATTTTAAACCCAACATATTATCATTTATGAAATATACTACATTAAAATTAAATTACTTTCAAAGTAAATAAAATATTGGAATTAAACTTTGATACTGTAATTCAATATTTAGATTAAATAATAAATATTTACTTAACCTTTGACCAAGTTTTATAAGGATTATGGTAATCCGGTGTCGATTAAAACACTTTAATATAAATGTTTAAACAAAAATAGTATCCCTCATATACACATCTAAAATCTACGGGAGCCTATTGTGACCACCACGCCTTTGTTAGTTAATTTATAGATAGTGATATGCAAAGGAATTCATGGTCCAAAGTAAAACAGTTTATATGGTATCGATTGAGATATTTAAAAATAATGCTTTATACACAAGTTTAGATATACAAGAAGCACGACACCCAGCAAACGTTGATCATTTTATGACATAAAAACAAAAAAGTTTAAAGAGGTCAACTTAAATTTGGCATTTTTTGTTGAAAATAAAATAGTTCCATCGTCAATGGAAGTACCTGTCTCTTTTGTAATGTGGAAACGCCTTGTTTTCGATTTTTTTGGTGCCCTGGTTCTAGATGTTTTGCATCAATTAGTTTCATTTTTTTATTATAACGAAATCGTTGAGCTTTATATCTTTGCAACTCGGACGTCCACGACTGGGGCCGACTTGGATCTCTGGGTTGAATGACACACAACTCGACCGGCTGCATTAAATTCAAATGGCACACAAGAGTTGAAGGCGTAATGGCGCCACTAGGACTCCGTACAAATTTATATTCACTATATTTTTACTTCATATTAATCATATTAAGTATATTTTAGTACAGGTCAATTGTGTTTCACTATTTAGTGATTAGGTTTCGTATATACAATATAGGAATTCAAAATGGAACTATTTTAAGCTATTTGAAAAAAAAAGATATTACGCAAAAATATGTAACGGAAGAGGATAAATACAACATGAAACCGAGTTCTATAGAGAAACGTCATATGTTATGTTATGTTGTTTATGCTGTTTATGTTAGCTTATGTTGTTTATTCCGATTTTGATTGTGTACGTCTGCTGTAAAACAGTACATTTGAAGCAAAAATATAAAAGAAATATTTGTGTAGCATAGTTAAGCAATACGCGTGCAGCTCTGAGTAAAAAGGTATTTTCTGGTAATGATGTGACGTCACAAACAAACTAAGGCAGACCAAGCATGCCATCTCGAAGCGGTACAGCGGCACAGTCTCGTGCGTCAAAACAGCAGTCACGTGGTCAAACGAGGGGAACAGCCACTCAGGGCTCAGAAAGGTTACATTTACATGTTTAGCTTGATCACTAAAATTAATAATCTCAGAGTGAATATGAATAAAAAATATTCTCCAAGATTGTTTTTATTCTACAGCTTTATTTAGTAATAGTCTTAATTAAATGTAATTTTTAATCAGAACCATATTTGAGTTTATATATTTCAATTAATTATTGCCATGCTGAAGTAAAACAAAAATGGCTGAATATTGTATTTTCAATGTAAAGCTCCAAAATATAGGTTATGTGATCTGATTAAGTAACACTCTTACAACTAATATTATACAAAACTAAATAAAAAGCTTTAAACACCAAACACTAACCAATTAGTAGCAACCGAAGCCGCCTGTCCTCAACCTCTCAAAGACACAAACAAAACAACAACAAAAACGACCGGTAATTAACGAAGAAATAAAAACAACAACAACAAAACAACAGTAAACCTACAAAATGAAACAGTTTTTTTTTATTTACAGGAGTGAAGGATACACGGCAAATAGCCAAGGTACTGGTACTCGATCCAGACGTACAGCTACAGCCGGGCAACAGAAAAGTCTTTTTGATGCATCTAATCGGGTAATTTTAGTTTATGCTCTACTGAAATCGAAAGTGATTAGCCATGGCCGCACGTGTAGAGCCAGGTCAGTTTGCACGTCCATTCGGTCTGAGGGCAAGCTTTATACTCATGATACTTTTGACTGACTAACGTTAAAATCTGATTTGATAATGGACAATTCCAAAAATAGAAGCTGGACGAGTCCATTTAAGAAATTCAGCATGTAAAGGTCAATCGTTTGTCTGTACTTGATTGATCAGAAACATGTGTCTAGATCCTCCTCATTCCTAAGATGTGACTTCGAACTTTAAAAAATGTAAAATAGACGGTCAGAATGGCAGCGTTTAATTTATAAATGTGATAGCAATACTGTATACCTACGCGGCTACAAGCCTAACTAATTAAATGTAAAAGATATGTATAACTTAAGAGATGCTTACCATCGGATCATCCTCGGCTATTATTCATTACAACCTTATCCGAAGACTGACGGAAAGGGCCGAAAAGTTGTCTCCAATTAGAAAGAGATAAAAGAAGCTACTTCCGATCAATGAACTTTTATACAGTGTCAACAAATGCAAAATATAGACAAACATCTTAAAAACTGTGTCGATAAAAGCATAATTGATGCACGTATCTAAATTTAATGCTTTGTCGATGAAAGCGAAATAGTTGCACGTATCTTAAATAATTTGCCGGTGAAAGCGAAATAGTTCCACGTATCTTTGATATTTTGTCGATAAAAGCGAAATAGTTGCACGTATCTTTAATACCGATGAAAGCGAAATAGTTGCACGTTTCTTTAATACTGTGTCGATGAAAGCGAAATAGTTCCATGTATCTTTAATATTGTGTCGATGAAAGCGAAATAGATGCACGTATCTTTAATATAGTGTCGATAAAAACGGAATAGTTGCATTAACTTTAATATTGTGTCGATGAAAACGAAATAGTTGCACGTGTATTAAATGGTATATTGATAAAAAGCAAACTGGATTAATGCATCTGAAATATTGTATCGATGAAAGCAACATAGTGTACGTCTTACATACTTTGTCGATAAATGAAAAAAAGAAAGAGTAAAGGTATCTAAAATACCGTGTTAATAAAAGCAAATATTTGAATGATGTTTAAGCAAAACCTGATAATAGAAATAATGTTTACTTTATAATTGATAATTTGATATGGTACATGTAATTATTTATGGGGCACTACTTTCATGTATTACAGTCACGTGGTGGCGGTGAAGAAGATGGCGACGAAGGTGTTAAAGCAAACGACATTTGGAGTAAATTTGTTAGTGATGACCAGAATGTGGTTCGAGCACCCACAGCCGAGTCCGGTGTTAGTGGCATTAGTGGGGGCAGCCAGATGACAGGATCACAGGTCTCGGGTTCACAAGGTACGAACGCATCCTGACCCAGCGTAATACAGCTAAAACGTTTATATGATTTATAATTTAATATAATTCATATTTTCTAATACGGGTGACATCAGGTGAAAGTGTATGACATAAAAAGTTTTATTAGAAAAAAAGTTTAATTAGAAAAATACTATGCCAACTTTTCCAAACACATTAAAAATATCCAAAGGCAAAAAGTTCTTTAATTTAAAAAATGAAATGGTCAAAAGCAATTTCCTAAGTTCAGATCATTTTATTTCTTACATATAGAAATGCGTAGCGTTAATTAGGAGCTGAATTTAATCAGGATGGTTTATGTCTCAAATGCAAATGTACAGTAAAATTAAACATCTCAAATCAGAGTTTCTAAATTAAAGCTTACCATAAACATTTTATACTTGTCACCTGTTCTTTAATCAAATCGCATGAAATTCAATTTTGAAGTACATGTAGTTTGGCACAAATCAAATATTTATGGTATTCACCCGTTATGCCTACTTAACATTTACATAAGTGAACTATTCCACTATATGTCTATATGTGTAGGATCTCAACGACCTTCTCAAATTGATGAAGAAGATGAGGAGGAAGAGGAGGAATCTTCTGATGATGACCGAACTATTTACAGTGATTACTACTTACCGCCAGAATATATGAGAGAGGTAAAAAAGCAGGACTATTTTTTCACGCGCCAAGATATGAGAAAAGCTAGTCAGTTGTACTACCACTTAACAAAGAGATAAGTTAAAGCTGGGGACTATTTTCGGAGAGTATTATATAATACAAAATATTTTGAGAGGTACATTAGCAATATAATAAGTAGTGTAATATGGAATTACCTGAAAAGCTTGTCTGAATCGACGCTCAGTCGAGTGTTCTCGTTATCACAAAAGTCACGTGATTCAACAAGTCTGGGCTATTCTTCAGTAGTATTTAACGCAAAAATATAAAAGTTAATAGAACTGAACTATTTTCTTAGAAAACTAGTTTAGTGAAACGGGCAATTCAAATTAGAGTATTATTTTAGGTTTAAAATTAGGTCAGGCCGACTGTTTTCAGTAACTATCATCGCCAGAACATAAAAGAGAGGTAAGTCTACCGGACTTCTTTTCAGAATATCATTTTACCACAAGTATATCAAGTCTACTGTATATAAAAATATTCCTGTCAAGAATTTCACTGACAAAGTATATAAGCGTTCTTAATATTTCTCCTATCTAAGCAGATACATGTAGTTTTTGCATTTTAACTAAAGCTGGAATTAATTGAACAAAACTTAGCCTAGAAGAATCAGGTCAAATGTTTCCTTTTATCATATCTTTGTTTTCCAAACAGTTAATCTAAAAATTCACAAATAAATAGGCAAACAAATGTATATGCTTCATATACAAATACACAAAGACATGTATACCTAATAAACATATTTTTATTCAGGAAGGGACACCTGGACCACGAGCCGAAATCGTTGATAGCCACGAGGCATGTAGTTGTTTCCCAAATCGGAGTAACAAGTTTGTTGGTTCAATGCTTTATGATAAAATTACATGTCAGCATACAGGACTAACTGGACATACACAGCCAGGTGTTTTCAAGTTTAATCCATACTGGAATGAAAACATGGAAGAACCGAGACGGCTTAGAAAACGTGATATGAGAATAGCAAGATCAAAATATGTGTTCGGATATCCAAAACCCAGGTTTGAACTTGTGTCAGAAAGCGAAGATGAATATGATGAAGATGATGAAGAATGTTCTGAAGAAAGAGAAGGTACCGCTATTAGTGGACGAAAAGCCGATACTCCAAAAACTGCTAAAACAACAAAAACAACAAAAACAAGGGACGAAGATGACGACGACGATGATGATGAAGATGATGATGATTATGACAGTGATGAATATGATGACGAATATGATGAAGAGGAGGAAGACTATATTCCTTACAGATTACCCGAAATAGGATATCCGCAGACGCCGTCACTTCCACCAAGTAGTCAGAGCTTCCGGTCACGTCACAGCGATTTCACAGAAAGCGTTCCCGAGTCATTACCATCACTTCCGCCTACAAGACAACTAACTGCACAAACCAAAAGGACAGGTGTTACACAGGTAAAACAAAGATAATACACATCCTTTAAAGCAGCATGCATCCAGATTCATGCTTATTTTATATAAATTATGAAAAGTAAATTATTGTGTGCAAACGGCGCTTACACGTTAGTCACGCAGTAGAAATGTGGTGATGAATACTGCAAAATCGGTCATTAATCGCACATAACATGTAAGTTATTATTTCAATCTTGAATATTTTACTAGCACTAGCTGCATGCCTGAAGATGAGCCAAAGTATTTCAAGAAAATCAAAATTAGTAAACATGTACTAAAATTGAAAATTACTTTTCAATTAGTAATTTCCATGTTATGTGCGATTTATGACCAATTGTGCTTTTTTGTCTCCATATTTGCATGGCAAATAAACTTAAATGTATCTTATAATAAATATAGATTTAAATATGCTATTTATGTATATGACGATTCAAGTCTTTTAAAGTTGTTGTTTCCTTGAGCAAGAACCTACGCCCATCGCTTAGTACCGGTTGGTTCCAGGAATGGATTCGAGTTTCTGTCTGTAAACAGTTTCCTACACAATCGTTTTAAGAAAAAAATCTGTATAAACTACTATACAGGCTCTATACGTTTCTCGACAAGTAACGTTGACAAAGCATTAATAAAATATCTTCAAACCGAATTTTTTTTCCAATATTTTTTTACAAACTAGCGTACGCAAAGAACCCAATTCACGCTTCCATCGCAAAGACAAGAAACCAGACGTTCTACAAAAACCGCAAAGACTGGCAAGTCAGAGAAATCCGGGAAGAAGTCTGCAAAGAAGGCAAAATCCATTGATAGCGGATATGATGATGATTCCAGCAGACGAACGGTCGCTAGTCGACAATCACTTCCTGCAGGTCCAGTAATTGGGACATCTAGAACATTTCAAGGGAAGTTTTATGATCCAGGTATGTGTTACCGTAAACTAGTGCTAATTTTCGCCAAAAAAACAACCTCCCCTCAAAGAAAAACAACAAAAAACCCAAATAAACAGCGCAGTGAAGTTAAAATGACCCCATAGAAAATGATCCTTTGATTAGTGCTCATATTGAGTGAAAGTATAGTGTTTCCGTGAGTAATGATCACGGTACTCTCACTACTCACACATTGAACATTATTGCATTTTAACTTCACACACAGATACTACTTATAAATGTAATGTTCAAGATGTGAATAGCGTTCAGTGAATCATGTTCATAGTTGTAGCGAGTTATGTGTACGGATCGATTAGTGCTCAGTCAATGATTTTGCGCATGTTTTCGTTTTATGACGTAGTAGTAATAGTCTCAAGCAAACTCAGAAATAACGGGGGATCGAGCTTGCGACCCTTGATTTGTAACAGACTGTAACCACAACACACGGTCTGGTTAATAACTTTTGTGGATGTTTCTATATTATATTATCACATTTTTTTCCAACAAATGCATGGGTAATTCATTTACATTTTAATATTGACAATATTATAGTCTTGTACTTGACAATTTTTTCTTATTTCCTTTCTATTCAGTTACAAAACAAATAATGCTGTATGACATTGCGACCCAGCCGGGTCAAAGAATTCCAGTCGGAAATATGGAACCACTTAATAAGCCTGCAACAGCCGAAAACATTCCTGCTAAAGCAGCGGACAAAAAAGAAGCCGGTTCCAAACCGGGTACCAAGGGAAGCAAGCGTAGCACAGTAAGATAAATTTTCTCTTATTAAGAAATTATCTACAATTATATACTTGCATGTACATATGCGTATTTCAGATAATAAATACGAAACCTGAAAGAAAGAAATATATTCTGAATCATATGATGGGTAGTTTCACACAATTTTAGTCACAAATTTTTACAGTTTTCAAGTTAAATTAAGCAGTCATTTTGTTTTCAAACATATTGAATTTGCCAGAAAAAATTTCTCACTGAATATTGGCAGCAATCAGCCATTGTAAAACACTTTCTGAAACTACATACTCATTTTCTAAGTAGCGCAACTTCTAAATTGAACAAGAAGTATATCTAAGAGTAGGCCTACAGGAATATTTAAATTTCAAAATGTCACGTGAGTTTTTTGTGTTATTTTTAGACCAGTCAACAGAGTCATCACAGTGTACCAAAGGCTGCCGTGTTGGGGGCAGTGTTTATATCTAACTTACTCAGTAAAAATAAAGCAAACAAAGAGGCATTGGACGCGGGATATAGTGATGACGAGGAGGAAACTTAATACATGGGCAATCGGAACATGTCGGCTATTATCAGTAATCTTATTTTATCCGAAGATTGTCGGAAAGGGCCGAGAAGATGCGATTGAATAAATGGGTAGTCGTTCAAAATTAAGAAAACCCTTACCACGCTTTAATACGTTCACCTTTCAATCCAGACAAAACCATTTATCATTTTTAGAGAAATTTTCAAAATAAACTACTGAGTGAATAGCGGCCATTCGTTCCGTGTAATAATGTTTGTATGGGCGGGTTTTTTTTTAATGGGTGGAGAAAAATATTTTTTATAAAAGCGGCATAGTGTTAAATAGTGTTTATTTAAGATTTCTCAAAATTTTATAGACGGGTATGATATTTATTTTATTAAATAAAGATCACATTGTGTACGTTGTTTTGATCAGCAAGGGGAGTTATTGTTTGGTTTTATTAACCTGTCAATTACATACTGATTACACGGTCGATGCACACAGTATGTTAATCTTCGGTAGATGTTCGGTAAGTTCCGTGAGATGAACGCTATACGATAGAATTTAATTTAATTTGTATCTCTAAACTAAGTGTACTCAGCGTTTTAGCGCAATAGGGTAAATCACGAGTTTATGATCTAAGCGCCACACGTGTTTTAAGTTCGAGGCCGCGTTGGTCCATGTTTTTTTCTTATTAATACTTTCAACATTATTGAATCTATATATGATTATTTATGTTGTTCGTTTTGTTTCATTATGTTTTACTTAATTTTGTTATGTATATACTCTTTTTAAATAACATTTTTTTTTAAGAATTCATGTTTAAGATTAAAACGGATTAAAATCAATAAATGTCATTTCAATGCCGTAAAACACACTACAAATCTGTTCTATTAAAATATACTGCAAAAATAAAGAAAAAGTACTAAAACAATGGCAACAGTAAGGATCGAAGCACAGACCTCTCAATTATCAGGCATTCTCTTTACCGACTATGTTATTGTGAATTGACGAAAACCTTCACATTAAGCAGGCGTGACTTTCAATCGATGACTTATATACTCCACATTAATTCTCGTAAACTACACGGACCAAACCGAAGTGGGATCGAATATTTAAATGAGTCCTATAATGTATTCAAAATTGACAGGTCAATAAAATCAAACTATATAATGTTTTAAGAGACATCATGTTATTTTAAGACTGACTCACAATCTGCATAGGCGGCGTCAAGATTTTTTTAAATGGTATCATGTTGATTTACATGTATACTGATTCACAAGTTGTATAGGCGGAGTAATGAAGTTTACATGCAGGCTTCATTCATGGTAATTTTAAGTTAAGTATGATATAACAATTCAATGTAATGTACACAATTATATTGTTTTACAGGCGCGACATTAGCTGTGTATAATACATTGATTTTTATCTGTATATAGATAAAACAGACAATTTCAATCATAAACGTATTCGTTAATTAATTATCTCCCGTAGAAGTGAATTGAAAGAAAACATTAAATGTAAAAAATTACAAAGAGCAATAACTCAAAAAAAAAAAAAAAAAAAAAAATAGTTATGGTTCTAAAACAGTTTGATTTTCTTAAATGACATAAATGCAGCTTGAAAAAAATAGAAAGGGCAGTAACTCTTAATTATGCAAAAGAAAGTTATAGTTCTAATACACTGCGTTTTGATTTTATGTGATATATCAATCCACAAGGTTTCAAGTAATTACATGTTATGTCCAGTACAAAAAAAAGTATGAAAAATTGCAATAACTCCATAAAAACACAGTTTTTCTTCTCATTGATATGTAACCAATTCCATTCTTTGACGGACACCGGGCAGACAGAAAGACGGACGGACGAACAGCCAGACGGACAATGCCAAATCAATATCCTTCAGTTTTCAACGGGGATAATACTTGGCATGGTAGGATATCATAAATGATAAACGGTGCATAAAACGAAATAAAAAATGAAGTGCAACATATAAAGACCTGTAAAAGGTTGACTATGTTAATAAAATAAACTATTTCGAAAGTCGAAACGATAGCTCATAAATAATATTACAAATGTATATAGGTTTAAGCAGATCGTATTTCAAAAGTTTATTTAAATTTGCACTTATATGTTTTTGTACTTTATTTAAGTTGTAGTAAATACTTCCATATCTTAAATTTATACATTACACCTGCATGAAAGAAAATACATTGACTATGTATATAGATCGAGAAAAACAGAAACTTGCCGAATTTCTTAAATGGACTTGGCTTGCTTTCATTTTTGGGACTGTCCATTATCAATTTTGGAGATATCAAGAAATACATTAAGAATTAGCCAGTCATCAAGTAATTCAGTTCAGTATTGCGCCTGGTCAGAGCATTTTTTTAAGGATTGTAGACTTCAGTGGAGCTCCTTTAAAGTATGTCATTATACGGTGCTAGGGGGCATCAAAGATGTTGCACATTTTATCATAGAACCGGGCAATTTTCACCATTTCTGTTTTTATTACTCTCATGTGTAACAATTTTTTATATTTTCTCTCAAAACGTGCTTCATTTTCTTAAAATTTATCGAGATCATAAAAAAGGGGAAAAAACCTTAAGTAGATAGTATCTTCATAATTTATTTTGATATAATTCTATTTGTTCAACAATACAGTTATAAACAGCTAGTGCATTTGTACGTAACTTAATACTGTATAGCCGAGTAAATTATTGGCTTTCAGTAAAATTATAAATAGAACATTGGAGACTAAGCTATATACTAAGCACCAACTATCGATTGTATATTTATATGCTTGAAATTGTATATAAAAGAAAATATGAACAAAAAGTCTCTTAAAATCATGAATAAGACATAATTAAGCCCAAGTCAAGTCAAGTTATAAGAAAGCCCTATAAACGCCTCGCCGAGATATTGTCATCAGACTATGTTTGCAATATAAACACTCTGACATATTAAGCATGAATTACTACCTTTAAAATTATATATCATATAGGAAAAAAGCCCTGTTGATCTGTTTTATAGAGCGTGTAGCGTGTGTACACTGATTTCATTCACAGCTGTTAGACATATGCAAAACAGTAAAATTTGTTGTAAAATATTATAATATTCTATTTAGGAATACTTACAGAAATGGTGTATTTTCTTGAAAATGGAATTGATTATAGTGTCATAACTACAGTGGCTATATTTTTTATCACATTTTTCCTGGTTTATATTAACACCAGACGACAAAAAGGAGTGCCGCCAGGCCCAGCGTTATTCCCTATTGTCGGAAATATCCCGTCGTTGGCTTCCGATGACACTCTATGCAGATTGAGCGAACTTCGGAAACAGTATGGTGATGTTTTTGGACTATATACCGGAAGCAAACTTCTCGTGTTTCTAAATGGTTATGATGTCATTCATGACGCGCTGATAAAAAAGGGATCCAAATTTATGTTCAGAGCTCTACCAGCTTATGACCAAGAAGAAGATGTTCATACTAAAGGACTGATCTTTTCTAAGGGAGCAATATGGAGAAATGGTAGAAATTTTGTTGTAGCTACATTACAAGAAATATGTTATAATGACAAAGGTTTTGTAGAACATTTAGTAGATTACGAGGTCAACGACTTGACAGAAACAATTCTTAAATTTGAAGAGCCCTTTGATATAGAACTCTACTTGAACTCAAGCGTTCAAAATATTATATTTCAAATCGTTTATGGACATAGATTCGATTTGGATGACGAAGATTTGCACTGGTTTCAAAGAACTATAAGAACCAATTCAGAAAAGTTTTTGAAAACGGACGTGATTTTAAACTGTCTTCCGTTTTTAGAACATTTCCCTGTTGACATTTTAGGTTTTAAAAAGAGCAGAAGTTCCTTTGAGAAGCAGTTAGAATTTTTAACAAAAATGATAGAAAAGTTGAAAAACCGAAACGAAAAGGTTCACAGAAAAACTTTTGTAGAATGCTATTTAGATCGAATTGACGCGGATAGAAACAATGATGTTGAAAGTACTTTCGATGAAAGAGATTTGAAAATAGCAGCTTGCCATCTTGTAATAGCAGGAAGTGAAACAACTGCATCGACGATAAGATGGATACTTCTGTACCTCATCAGAAATCCACATATACAGGATAAATTGTACGCCGAAATAACACACGTGCTAGGAAAAGATCCCCCGACAATTGCGGACAAAAAACGACTAACGTATATGCAGGCGGTTATACTAGAAGGTCTCCGAAATTCTCATACGGTACCATTGGCAATGCCGCACACTGTTGAAGAAAACATTTTATTTCGTGGATACCTTATTCCCAAGAACTGTACAGTAATTCCAATGCTTAGCACCGCTCTTAAGGATCCAGAAATTTGGAAGGATCCTGAAGAATTTATACCGGAAAGATTTCTGAACGCAGAAGGAAATGACGTGATAGTTCCAAAAGAGTTCATCCCATTTTCACTTGGACCGAGGTCATGTTTAGGGGAGACGTTAGCAACAATTGAAATATTTCTTTTTTTGACAGGACTTGTTCAAAAATTGGAATTTTTACCGGAAAAGGATGGCGTTATCCCGGACCAAAAAGGAGAACTTGCAACCACATTTAATCCTAAACATTTCAAAATGAGAGTAGTGAAAAGATAGGTTTTCAATAGAAATCTTTCCGTAAATGTACATAAAATATATCTATGTAATGTGTTTTGTATAACGATAATTGGTATTCAGATGTTTTAGTGTTCCTCCAGTCAAATGTATTTGTCAAGAAAGTCGCAAAGTTTCAATATACGATAAAGGAAAAAATATGATAATTCGAACCTAGCGAGATTGTACCTTATATCAGAGTTTTCGTCATATCCGAGTTTGTCATAAGTGAAGACGCTGTATGTAGATGGTCACAAAGGAAATGTTCACAGTGATTGATGCATATGAGCAAAATTAAACAAGAGTTTGATTTAAATTATTAATTCCAAAACCATTAATTATCACAAAATTTGATTTTTATCGGGCGCATTTTGGTTGACCATGTTTGCGATTCTAAAGATAATACTTGTAAGAGATATCGATGGTCATTAAGTAGAAAATGTTAGTGTAATGGTTAAGTTGACTGCCTATCAGCATTGAATCATGGCGCGTGCACTACCGTCTAGTAGATATGCATTTGTCCGTATAGCAATAGGGAAAATTTTAGATTTGATTTTGTGCATTTTTTTTTGTTTTAACAAAATCACACTGTTTTTAAAGTTTCTAATAAAAATAGCTTTTCTGATGCACAACATGTCACAGAGCTTTCAGGTATTACAATAAACGTTTAACTGAAGTTATAGTGTCATGTTTGAATATCATATTCTTTTTGGCTTGCAGCCAATGAGCCAGTCTATAGTCGACCGTTCTAAAACTTAACCGTTGAGAGAGGTAACGACTGAAGCAGTGTCACTCACTTCATTTGCTCCGCCTCTGTTGAAGTTCGTCTCCACCTTAAATTGTCGCCATATTCAAAATGTTGGCATTTAATCTTCGTTGACGGGGGTTGGGGGAGGGATCCAGGACAATTATGATCAATATAACTTGACTAATTACAAGTTACGAAGCCTAAACCACGCCCACTATCAGAGAGGCGGTTCTCCATAAACCCTTAGCTCAACACAGACCCGTCTATAGTCTAATGACGGGAACCGAACAAGAGGTATCACTAAAATACGCAACGGATATTATATTGGCGCTACGGACGCAGCGGGAATATTTTTTGCAAAACAGGCAAAACGTGTGCGACATGTAATTCATTAAAATAATTAGCATTTAAGTTATAAAACAGAGTAACTGTGAAAAAAGAACGTTTATTTTAAAATGTATCACAAATATTTGCAATAGGTTATTTTGAAGGATTCTGTGACCCATTGTTCTCTTTGCCTAGATTTTTAATTACATTTTGTGGTCCCATACCTAGATTCTTTGTTTACTCAAGTAGTTTAATCTTTTATAAATAAGTAAACAAAGAATTGATTATATGTATCAATTTATACATAACTCTTATTTGATATTACAAACATATTTTCGCTATTTATAAAATAACAGACAGTTCGTCATCAAAATAATTTGAACATTATGCAATTCGCACCAATATTTAAATGGACATATTCTTGGCACATATTGTCTTGAATTTATTTTAAGTTAACCAATAATTTCAATTTCACTTGTTATCCAATTTATTTTGCTTCGACCAGACGTTTCAATCTTTGTCGCTACAACTAGGCATTTGATTTTTCAGACACATACCAAGAACATGGGAAAAAAATTAATTAGTGCTTCGGATATTCAACTGTAATAGAAAACGATTTTCAATTCTGATTTTGTACATTACCTATGACTGTTCACATCATTTGGCGGTGTCTTTGATATGCAGCATCAACATTTAACTTGTTTTTAACTTACTAAACGGCAATTTAGACACACTGGATGAATTCAGTTTAAACATATATTTCACTCAGCAAATTACAAACATGTATCATTTTACATTCACAGTATATAAATGGATTAAAAATACATAAAAAAAACAAGCATACTGAGTTTGTAAATTTCTTCTCATGTTGATGTTTTGTCAACATGACAAAGTATTTCATTAAAATTATGTAGTCAGTGTATGTTGTATATTTCAACATTGATTAAAAAAATCATGTATTAGTTTATTGATTCAAATGTTCAAACTGTCAAATCTGCACATCTGCCGATATAGAGATAGAACTGCGGCAAAAACCTTTTTCAAAAATCAAACATGAAGGCATGTGTCGAAATAATAAGATAAATAAATACATGTAATAAAAAACACACACAAAAGTATTTATGATGACAGTGGCTACAGCTTTCACTCGCTAGGTTGACATTGTTGCTGAAATGAGTGTTTTGAACTTTAGCTTTTACTTTCTTAGATTCCACTATTGTTAAACCATCTGCAAGTGTTGGTTTTGTTGATGTACTAATTAGTTTGATTTTAATGGGACTTCAATGAGGTTTTTTTTAATTGGCGGGACTTGAAATAATTTTCCAAGATTTGTGTACCATTTGATGTTATGCCTTGGCCAAGAACTTTTTGCGTATAACTATTGAAAATTTATTTGGAACATGCAAATTAAACATTGATACAGTATTGACAGTATTGACAGAAACACATTTTGTCTTGTTTGATGAACTTTAAAACTTACAAATATGAATAAATGAGTGGGGGAAACGACAAGAAAAGCCATTAAATCTTAAAATATATACATCACAAGTTTGTATCTTCAATAATTTCGTTAAATGAGAAACTAGGAAAGTATAGGCAACTGATACGTTTCTCAAAAATTGAGAATGTCATAAACATTGCTTTAATAAATAGACATATTAAAAAATTTAAAAAAAAAAGAAAAAGAAAAAAAAATTCGAGCGGATGTCACAATTTTTTATGACTAGGTCGCCATTTTCTCAAATTTGCAACCATTTTCCTCGCGTCGCAAAGCATGTGTGCAACCACTTCACGCCCTGTCCATTGTTTTGGATATTTTTCATGTGGGGAACGAAGCTTACAAGCTAGCTTATGGAACGTCGTTGGTTCTGTTTATTTTATAATGCACGGAGAGGCATGTGAGGCTTTCTCAGTCACCTCCATAAAAAAAGAAAAAAGAAAAATAAAGAATAGAAACTAAACACAACAACTACAACAAGCTAACTGTATTTGTACTATGAGAAAGAGCACTCGGTATAGCGTGTTAACTCAAGCGAATTAACTGTTTGCTATACAGAGTATGTATTTACAATAGTTCGTAAAGTACATAGGCGTATGTATTATAATGTTAACCTTGTAGTAAATTGGAAATAGACGTATAAAGAGAGCTAAAAAAATGGATTCAGCACTTTTCAAAGAAACGGATTACAGCATTTTAACGACAGCTTCAGTGTTCTTAGTGACATTTTTCCTAGTTTATATTAACACAAGACGTCAAAAAGGAGTGCCGCCTGGACCAGCTTTGTTCCCCATTGTCGGAAATCTCCCGTCGTTGGCTACGAGAGATATATTGGGCAGATTAAATGAACTTCGGAAACAGTATGGTGACGTTTTTGGACTATATACCGGAAGTAAACTTTTCGTGTTTCTAAATGGTTATGATGTAATTCATGACGCGTTGATAAAGAAAGGGTCCAAATTTATGTTCAGAGCTCTGCCAAGTTTCGATCAAGAAGAAGATCAACACACAAAAGGACTAATCTTTTCGAAAGGAAGAATATGGAAGGAAGGTAGAATGTTTGCAATATCTACTTTACAAGAGATTTGTTTTAAAGATAAAGGTTTTCTCGAACATTTAGTAGAGTTCGAGGTAAATGACTTAACAGAAACAATACTTAAGTCTGATCATCCATTTGATATAGAGCGCGTCTTGAACTCAAGCCTTCAGAATGTGATATTTCAAGTCGTGTACGGATATAGATTCGATCTAAATGATGATGGCTTGCATTGGTTTCAAAAGACAGTACGAGCCCAGTCGAAAAGATTCCTTGCAAGAGAAGTTATTCTAAATTGCCTTCCGTTTTTAGAACATGTTCCTGGAGACATTTTAGGTATCGAAAGAAGTAGGGTTGACTATGCAGCAGAAATGCACTTTTTATCAAAACGGATTGAAAAGTTTGAAAATCAAAAGAAAGGCACACAAAGAAAGACGTTTGTAGAATGTTACTTGGAAAAAATGGCTGCAAACAAAAGTAACGAAACCGACAGTACTTTCGATGAGAAAGATATGAAAATAGCAGCGCACCACTTAATTACAGCAGGAAGCGAAACCAGTGCATCTGTCATTAGATGGATACTATTGTACCTAATAAGAAATCCGCATATACAGGACAAGCTGTGTGCTGAAATGACAAATGTACTTGGAAACGAGGCACTATCAATTGGAGATAGAAAACGAATGCCGTACATGCAGGCAGTGATATTGGAAGGACTCCGAATTTCTCACGTGGTGCCACTATCATTACCTCATACTGTTGAACAAGACACCTTATTCCGGGGATATGTTATACCAGAAAATTGTACAATAATTCCTGTCCTCAGTACCGCTCTCAAAGACCCTGACGTCTGGGAAGATCCCGAAGAATTCAAACCTGAACGATTTTTGAACGCGACAGGAAATGACGTCATAATTCCAAAACAATTCGTGCCATTTTCACTCGGCCCAAGGTCATGTTTGGGAGAAACTTTGGCAACTATCGAAATATTTCTATTTTTGGCAGGACTTGTTCAAAAGTTGAAATTTTTACCTGAACATGATAATGAATATCCAGACCAGAAAGGAGAACTTGGACTTACATTTACTCCTTTAAATTTTAAAATGAGAGTTGAAAAACGTTAAGCTTTTACACGGACAGTCTTTGTACGAACTGCCAAATGAAGGTAAACATCTTCCAATATGACCAGCCAACATAATGAATTCCAGTATTGGACGCTGCAAAGTCCAATATAGTCTTATAAGATAGTTGAGTAATGTTCGGTTGAGTAATAAATACTCTAATAATAAAAAAAAGGTAAAGGTCTTGCTTATTATAGTGTCACCCCTACTGAAAGGGCCAGCCATTTCTGACTTATGAGACACCTTTTGGTTGCATACCATGTACCTCCCAACTCCTACCACTATACCAGGCGCCAGGCGGATAGAAATCGGTAACCATTCATTTTAACTACCTCGCGGCTCACGAAGCGGCCATTTCGGAGAAAGTCCCACGAGAAACATTCATCCTTCAATTAACGCTCCCCGTGGGGCTCGAACCTTCGACCTCCCGATCCGAAGGCGGACGTCTTAACCACTAGGCCAACGGTACCGGTTAATAATATGTAACCTCGCCCACAGCTGTGCAGGGACAGATGAACATTCTCTTAATTTCACCAATTCACCGTGTGTGAGGTAAAAATTTTAGATTTTGGTGCAAATGTTTGACTAATTCACAAACGGTTAAATATCTGTATTGATGCACTTGCTCCGCCTCCCCTTCAATTTAATCAATAAGCCAAGCCAGTAATCAATTAGATTTTACTAAGCAAGTTCTAACTATAACGTATTTCAGACCTGAATTTATATTATTTTATATAACATTTTATTTTCAAATTGCTTGCGATCATGATTGTCAACAATTTAGTTTTCAAATATTCATTTTTAAACAAAAGTCAAAAAGCCTTTAAACAATGAAATATTTTCATAGTTTAAGTAAAGTACTTCAAATTGAATAATCTGCAAAGGAAAAATGAAGAAATATACTCAGAATAAAATAGATTGTCCGAGTTTTGTGCGATTTTAGCCCTATCTCAGTAAAAGGCGTTTCAACGTTTTTCATTTTTGGGTTTGTTCAATTAAAATGATTATTTCTCGAAAAAGTGGACAAGGGAATGATCTAAAAATATGCACACAAGTTATTGGTCTAGACTACATAGTATGGCTTACAAATCTCGAGAAAAAAAACCACACACACAAAAAAAAACAACATTTTTTTTGTCCCGTAATGTCAGGCAACCCCAGTAAAAAGTTTTTAAACAATCAGAACTTATACTGGATTTTTTTTATTCATTGACAAGACGTTATAATTCTTATTGTTGTGAAAAGTTTTCGTTATTTTTGAATAAGTCCCAAAACTTGTTTCAAGTTACGCTTCTCAGTTTGTGAAATTACAAATTCTCGAGAAAATAAATTTATGTAATTATGTGTTGTTACAAAATGTATATATTTTATTTTCGTCAACACAGGTAACTCATTCGCTTGCTTGCTCGTAAACGCACGCACGCTCGCAAAACACGCACCTACCTACATACACTTCATAGATATTAAGTCATATATATTTACAAAGGTTAAGAAACTGTGTCAAGTTTTATTTTTTTCTATAGTAACCTGTATTTACGGAAGCATGGAGAGGACATAGTCGATTTATTTTAAAAATCTGTGGGAACAACTTATTTGTCGAAGTATTTTTTATTAATCTGTGGGAACAACATGTTTTGTGAGAAAAATCTTTTTTTATTCTGTGGGAACAACATATTTTGTGAGAAAAATCTTTTTTTATTCTGTGGGAGCAACATATTTTGTGAGAAAAATCTTTTTTTATTCTGTGGGAACAACATATTTTGTGAGAAAAATCTTTTTTTAATCTGTGGGAACAACTTATTTTGTGAGAATTAAGCTCTAAAGCTGTGAGTTGTTTAATCCTCTAGAACGTAGGAATTCTAATAATTTTCTAAACATTTCTTCTGCCATTATTGCAATTGTGTGCAAATGGCGACTTTTTAAAAAGGGACTTAACTTTGCAGTCACTCTTTGTGGCAATCGCTATTTTGATTGGTTGAATTATGTTGTGGGAACAACATAATTAATTTGTTCGCACAACTTATTATCTTGAGGGAACAAGATATTGAAAAAATATCGCAGAAAATAGTTTGTTCCCACAGAGTAAAAAAAAGATTTTTCTCACAAAATAAGTTGTTCCCACAGAATAAAAAAAGATTTTTCTCACAAAATATGTTGTTCCCACAGAATAAAAAAAGATTTTTCTCACAAAATATGTTGTTCCTACAGAATAAAAAAAGATTTTTCTCACAAAATATGTTGTTCCCACAGAATAATTTTTTTTTTTTCTCAAATTAAGTTGTTCCCACAGAATAAAAAAAGATTTTTCTCACAAAATATGTTGTTCCCACAGAATAAAAAAAGATTTTTCTCACAAAACATGTTGTTCCCACAGATTAATAAAAAATACTTCGACAAATAAGTTGTTCCCACAGATTATTAAAATAAATCGACTATGTCCTCTCCATGCTTCCGTATGTATTTGTTATGTAAATAGTATAATGTTTCTTGTACATGTACTTTTATCTTATTGATAATACATCTATATAGTTTCAAGTGTTTATTTCTTTCAATTCCTAGAATGTAATTAATACACAAACAGATAAGAAACATGAGAAATTTCGTGATGTTGTGGAATATACTTGTCAAGCCATGGATACTTGTTATATATATGTTATTTAAAACTTTATTGTTTTATTGTTCGTAGTTTGCTTTGGAGCGCTAGTTAGAATTATAATCTGCTACGCAAGCAAAACATTTTTTTTCAGGATAGTAACATTTTACAAGACAAGAATGCTTAAAATCGTAGAAAAGCTAAGTCCTGTTTGTTCGGTTTTAAAAGCGTAGCTTTGACGATAATGGTCTGCCATAGTATTATGATAAAGAAAAGTTACGCTCGGTTGAACAAGTATAATACAACCAAGTAGAGAGGCTATACTATCTTTAAACTTGTAATTACGGTGTTCCATCAGGTCCATCAATATTTCGACGGATACTCACAAGTGCGGTAAGACGAAATGAGGAAGGGTGAGATTCGTTTTCCGACATAAACATACGTTTTAAGTGACATCAGAAGACTGTTATTAGCCAGTAATCTTGCCATAGGATATATATATATATATATATATATATATATATATATATATATATATATATATATATATATATATATATATATATATATATATATATATATATATATATATATATATATATATTACATAGTACTGGCAAATATTTATCGTACACTTCAAATAAACTTATCTGAGATCATATCATTTATAATACACACACAAACAGTTATATCAGTTTATAACAATACTTACAGGGTCTCATATGCAGCTATTGTTCTCAATACTTCTTTTACAATGGTAGGATACTACGTCATCGCGCACCTGCTAAATGCTCCCACTTGGACCATTTTTTCGTCGACTCGAAGGTAAAATACAATTTTATTATAAGAAAACGTAAGAGAATTAAAAAATCATGTAGCGCACCAAAGAATGGCTATAGTACTTGAGATAATTGTAAAAAAAGTTTATAGATTTATTGCCTGGTTTAGGCCTGAAAACGGGATAAGTGTTTTTCTCTGAATGCTCCCACTCGGATTTCTCCCGAAACATATATGAAATAAGGTTGAAAACCTTCTTTAAAATTATGTTTAACGTATCGGAACATAAACCAAGTCATGTATACCCATTATTCTATATTAGTTTCCAATATTTCTATTCAAAAGTCAGTCTTTTGAAGTTTTTTTTATGAAAATGGAAAATGCTCCCACTCGGACTCGATTTCAGAGATGCTCCCACTCGGACCCAAATATATACATTTTGAAAGCACATTGCTGTGTTAGCTTTTATGGATTATTCTCACAATTTAAACACCATTTTGTCAATAACTACTGTGTTTGGCAACATTAACTTTTCATTCTTTTTACAGAGATCACTTCTTTGATTCTGTAGAATGACGTCGTTGGACAGGAACAAGGTGCCATGGCAAAGTTTCAACTGACAGGATCACTATACAAAAAGGTGCACTTGGCTTGTGTTGCATCCGAAGGGATAATTCAAAATCATTGCCAACAACAAGCTAGGATTATACGACTTTAAATGGGCAGTTTGGATCTCAAGAATAAAGTTTTGTTTAGATGTTAAAAAAGTGTGGTGTTTTACAAAGAAGTCATTATACATTGTTGAGTACCATACCGGATTAAGATTCTGTTGGACTCGTGCACATATTAGAGGCCAGCATTTATTCAATAATTGCTGACTTTAATATCTTGTTAATAATTTAAAACCCAATGGTTTGCGTGTTTGTTAAACTTGTGACTTAGGTTTTAAAATAGCATAATTGTACGTAAATGAACATAAAGAAGTCAATATCTATCGGTTGATTTGAAAAGTTTATTAAAGAACAACATGTAAATCATTTTTGTCATGAACTGGTTAAAAAGTCAAGGTACTGCCATACTACGGCGTCACAATTATTAACAACTTTGACAACTTTAAGTATGAAAGTTATCACGTGTACGTATTTTTACCTAAATAATAAAAAAAAATAGGAAAACAAAGATCATAGTTATTTCTTTATCACAGTCTTTACCATATTTTGGTAATTAAAGATCATGTAAGTTATATTTCAGGCTGTTACCAATTGAAATTGTCTATAAATTAAATGCATTAATATTTATGGTACTAAAACAATTTTCAAACATAAAGGAATATGTAAAATACGTACTGCAAATGCTTGTCCACATTATATGTAATCATTAAAATATACATGTATGCATAATGCATTCGTTTCTTTTTGAAGAATTCAACTTATACTTAATAGAAAATATATTTCTAATTACCTCCCTTTATGAAATGTAAATTCGGTATTATCTTTACAAATAATGCTTTTCGGAACATACTTTATTGATAAATCTTCATTTGAGCATTATATTAATGAATAAAATCATAGAAAAATGAGTTCAGGATATATGAATAACGTTAAAATAATAACAATAATACAAGAAGGAATCACAGACAGCAAAATCCCCCGCCATAAGGAGGAAGTACATTTCAAAGGGGAAGTAACCCTTACATACGTGTAGAAATTCCAAGTAATGATACTCGTGAAAATTAATGAAAAGTTATAGCCTAGACATAATAAATCATGACAAAAATAACACTCCCATGAAAAAAAAACAAAGAAAAACAACAAAGAAGCATTAAGTGAACCCTTCTGGTCCTTATGCTCTGCTATTCACTTCTATTAAACATGTTCAATATAAAGTTTTAAGTTTATATCTCAAATACCTTTAGAGGTATGGTCCTTGCAAACTAATGATAGTGAATACAAAGAGCAATAACTCCAAAACTGGAGAGTTGTAATTCTTGTTTGCGGTATTTTACTTTATTGAAATCTATCATCCAGTGAAATTTCAGATGAATTGATCCTTTATGACACATTGTCCAAAAATTAACGCAAAAAAAACTGAACAAAAGACAATTACTTCAAAGAGCTATTATTCTTGTGTTTTCTAGAGCATTCCTCCTCAATGAGATATATCCACAGTTGATATCAAAAATACTTGCTCCAGCTTTGCCGTGCCAAGATGTCCTGCCATGTGCTTCCTTACGTCCCAATGTGGTTTATACCTTTTCCCATACTGGTCACGAATACAAATACTTTCTGCAAAACAAAACGTTATTATATTTTTAAAATGTATAAACAATTTGTTTCTTATTTAAGCGACTCTTTTAAACGAGGAATTTTTTCAACACAACTTTTTTCCCTTATACTAATCCTCTAAGAAGACATATTTACGAGACTGTTTAGTAATTTAAATATTAGTATCGTATTTTAAAAATGCTGTTTCATTGAATTCTTACTGATTATATGAATATATGAACGTGAATATAAAGATATTTTGAAAAAAATAATAATATCTTAAGACAGCTTTGTGCTTTCAAAATTTGTATATATTTAGGTCCGAGTGGGAGCATCTCTGAAGTTGAGTCCGAGTGGGAGCATTTTCCATTTTTATAAAAAGAATTAAGAAAAACTGACTTTTGAATAAAATCATTTGAAACTAATATAGAATAATGGGTATACATGACTCGGTTTATGTTCCGGTACGTTAAAAATAATTTTAAAGAAGGTTTTCAACCTTATTTCATATATGTTTCGGAGAAGTCCGAGTGGGAGCATTCAGAGAAAAACACTTATCCCGTTTTCAGGCCTAAACCAGGCAATAAATCTATAAACTTTTTTTACAATTATCTCAAGTACTATAGCCATTCTTTGGTGCGCTACATGATTTTTTAATACTCTTACGTTTTCTGATAATAAAATTGTATTTTACCTTTGAGTCGGCGAAAAAATGGTCCAAGTGGGAGCATTCAGCAGGTGCGCGATGACGTAGTATCCTACCATTGTTTTATCTGAACTTAATTTACTTTTGCACGGGTAAAAAAAATCTTAACTCTTTCCGCCTTTACCGCCATTATTCATAATATATACACATTATAAAATATAATTCCATTTTCTGTATTAATCTTTTACATAATTACAGATCTGAATGTATTTTTTGTATTTATTTATTTATATATATTTTAATTCAAATGAATCATGTTAGTCAGTTGTGTACAATATTGTGTACTTTAATCAAACAGTGATTTCTATACATGCATCATAATTTTGTATGTATATAATAACAGGATTATCATAGTATATTTTGTAGCGTTAGTTTTCATTACGATCCAAATTTCTTGTAGAGCTGACCCGCGACTACACGCTATTCTACATACGATAAAAAATAATGACCCTAACGGAATTCCGTAGTTGATATTTATGATATATAGAGCGTGAAATGTTTGTGTATTGAAAACACCTTGTGATTTTTACATCAGTTAAAGCGGATTTTTCAAGACTTGTGAATAATTGAAGGCATTGCAGTTTCTATTCAAGAACTGTACACATGTGCTTTATAAAAATTATTTAAGTTATTCTTGAAGTTAGTGAGATAGAGAAATAGGGGTGAAAAAATTGAAATTTGACAAAAATGGATGAAACGGATTACAGCACCATTACAACAATACTGATTTTCTTAATAACATTTTTGTTAGCTTATTCTAACACAAGACGACAAAAAAGGGTGCCGCCTGGACCTGCCTTGTTTCCTATTATCGGAAATCTCCCATCGTTGGCTACGGAAGATACGTTGGGCAGATTAAATGAACTACGAAAAAAGTATGGTGACGTTTTTGGACTATACACCGGAAGTAAACTTCTCGTGTTTCTAAATGGTTATGATGTAATTCATGACGCGCTGATAAAGAAAGGATCCAAATTTATGTTCAGAGCTCTGCCAAGTTTCGACCAAGAAGAAGATATACATACAAAAGGGTTAATATTTACGAAAGGGACAAAATGGAAGGAAGGTAGAAGTTTTACATTAGCAGTATTACAAGAAATCTGTTATAATGATAAAGGTTTTGTAGAACATTTAGTAGATTACGAGGTGAATGACTTGACAGAAACAATTCTTAAATTTGATGAGCCATTTGATATAGAACGCTACTTGAACTCAAGCGTTCAAAATGTGATATTTCAAGTCGTGTACGGACATCGTTTTGATCTAAATGATGAAGGCCTGCATTGGTTTCAGAAATTTGTCCGCACCAGTTCAGAAGAATTTTTGAAAAGGGAGGTAATTCTAAATTGTCTCCCATTCTTACAAAATCTACCGGGAGATCTTTTAAGAATTCAAAAAACTAGGGATTCATTCGCAACAGCTAAGGAATTTTTGACAAAGTTTATCGAAGATTTGAAGAAACAGAGTAGAAACACGCAAAGAACAACTTATGTTGAATGCTACTTAGATAGAATTGCTGCTAACGAAAGTAGAGGAATAGAAAGTACTTTCGATGAAGAAGATTTAAAGATAGCGGCATATCATCTCGGTGTGGCAGGGTTTGAAACCACCGCTGTCACAATTAGATGGATACTCCTACACCTAATAAGGAATCCTCACATACAGGATAAATTGAACGCGGAGGTAGAAGCTGTGCTTGGAAAGGAGCCTCCGTCAATTGAAGATAGGAAACGAATGCCGTACATGCAAGCGGTAATGTTGGAAGGACTCCGAATTTCTCACGTGGTACCGCTATCAATGCCGCACACTGTTGAACAAGATACCTTATTCCGGGGATACCTTATTCCAGAGAATTGCACAGTTTTGCCAGTTCTCAGCACCGCTTTAAAGGATCCGGATGTTTGGAAGGACCCTGAAGAATTTATACCGGAAAGATTTCTGAACGCGGAAGGAAATGACGTCATAGTTCCAAAAGAGTTCATCCCATTTTCATTAGGACCGAGGTCATGTTTAGGGGAGACGTTAGCAACAATTGAAATATTTCTGTTTTTGACAGGACTTGTTCAAAAGTTGAGATTTTTACCGGAAAAGGAAGGCGTTGTCCCGGACCAAAAAGGAAAACTGGCGACAACTCTAAATCCGAGTAGTTTCAAAATGAAGGTTGAGAAACGCTAAGCTGACAATCCGTGTAGAACATTTTTTCAGAAACTTGTAGATCACCATAGTAAATCATAATCTTTTTAGTTCACTGTTTTGTTATTTCTTTATTTTAGATAAATAAGCATCTCACTTGAGTTGCCATTATCGATTATCTCTATGTGCCTACAAAGTGCAAGAAGACCAACTGACTAGTCCTATATTTAAAATATCAACAATTAACTTATGGTATCTCCTGAAACCTTATTAACTTATGGTATCTCCTGAAACCTCATTAAACGAACCTAAGAAGTTCATGTGGATTTTATTCTAATTGTATACTTGCAGGGAAAATGTCTTCATAAAGGTATGCTCACTCAATACTGAAAACGTGCGTTACCACAAACTATCGTCTGCTTTAATAATTTTATTTATAATTCAACATGTAAGCCGCTTTATTTTTTTAAGTTTATATACATGTAACAGCTGAGAAGAGATAAACATAATAACCCAAATAAACAAACAACAGCCTTCCTCGTATATATAGAGCGATATATTGATAGTCACGGGCACAACTGATGTGAAAATTTAAAATTTACAGTTGAGGCATATAGCCTACATGTTGTAATTTAAATTTTTGTAATATATAACTTGAAGATATATAACTCTTATTTGATGACCTTACTCTCAATTATTTCTGGGTCATCTTGGACCAAGATTATCTTGGTTAAAGGACGAGTGCGTGCCAAAAAAATCTGTTCGTAAGTCCATATTCAGCCAGACTTTTAAGAACTAAGGTTTGGCTTAATATGCCCTATATATGTCGAAATTCTCGTGAGTAGAGGCAGTAAGGTACAGTAAGGTACGTGAAAGCTCTTTTTATTTAAACGTGGCCGCTAGATAGCTCCGTATCATGAACTCGTAAATGTTTCCTTCTGTATACAAAGTTTTACAAACTTTACGAATTTCGTAAAAAAAACACCATTTTCTGGAACCCATCGTCACCTACTAATTTTTCGAAACCGTTGCCATGGAGCTCGCACAAGAATCAAGGCCGTTAGATGACCGCGTAGTAATATCACCATTGTAACAGTCAATTTTTTTAAATATATATCGTCAATTCAGTTGAATTTGATAACGAAAAATGAGCAGAAAGTCACTTTAAAACATGGCTTCTAGATGCCCGCTTGTCATTGGTATTACTTGATGCGACTCTTTTAGTCCTTCTGTCTATACTGCGAATGTGTATTTACTTTGCGAATTCTTCTAAAAAGCACCATTTTTCCAGTCTAGGTAGACCGTGATCTAACCTTATATTTTATTTTCCTTGCAAATTAGACAGTGCTATAGACTACGGCAATACTCTATCTACTAGACACATGAATGGTCACCTGATACCCGCGTATCATAGGCCTATAAGCCTGATCGGCAATCTAGCTAGATTCTATATAGATCTATAGATATCGAACCGAAACCTGTACATATAACGTTTTTAATTTTTGCCCTGTTTCGTGTTTAATCTATTTTGTTCAAGAATGCACAATTGAAATAGAAATGTTTATGCGTTTTGACTGTCAAATCACATAAGACATCATTGCTGAACAACAAATGAGACGCTACGGCTGTGTTTTACTCGACATTTTTTTCATTGAAATATGAATTTCAAATTGATTTTGCAGTGCATTAAATGATTGTCATCGTAATTTCTACCTGTTACTTCATTTTATTCCTGAATTAGTGCATTCAATTGCATATTATCAAAAATATAAGCTGCTTTTATTCATAATTTCAAAATTTATGACTGAAAATGCACAGAAAATTACCAAGAAAATTCACATATCAATGAACAGCGTGGTAGGAATGTTTTAAAATATTGAGGAACTGTACAGTTATTTATTGTCAAAAAACAGAGCTCAAATCCGATGTGTGGTTATTTTATAAATAGTGTTTTTAATACAATTAAAAAACACAAGTTTGGTGCCCGCGAAATTTTGAATGCTATTTCCTGATTGGTCGACTGGATAGTCGGCACTGATTGGTCGACCTACCCCCTGGATACCATATATAAAGAGCTTTGTTGTCAGGTTGGCACGTTCATATTCATACATCTGCAGCAAAGCTAACATTGAAAATATGCGCTCTGACAGAGAAAGAAAATCTTCATACTATTCGTAAGTGTTTTAGTATTTTAAACACTTGAATTAACGTATGAATATCATATTTTCAACCTACGCTGTCCTGTTACTGTTATTTCAGTTTCATTTAAATGTTTTTTTAATATTTCAATCGCGATTTCAGTCTGCTGTTACATTACAGTGGGCGGGGTAAGGTTTAGATTCTACTTCAAGAAACTGAACCAGAAAAAATATTGTGCAATATTTCCATTGTTTCATAAATTTTCCAAAACCTTTATGTTATTATATTAGTGCCGTTTTATATCAATACAGTACGTAAACAAAATAATAAGTTTAAAAAATGCCGCCCAAAGAAACTTCAATCTACACTACACTTAGACCTAGACCTACGTACCGCAATGCAGTGTTCACAATAAGTTTTATCAGATAAAGAACGAAAGATATGTATTTCTAAGATTAGATCGGATTGGAAATGAAAAGCAAAATCGGTTTGATTTGATTCTGTCGCAAAATTGTCAAAAAAAAATGTCTTACTCTTGGCAACCGACTTAATTGTTCTATTTATAGATTGTGGTTTTTCCGTTGATGGTTAGACATATCGATCAGATAATGATGAAACATCTTTAAATCAAACAAATATATTTTTATTTAGAATTTGAATGATCAAAATATAAGGAATATACGATTTTCTTGCATGTTTACCGATATATTAATTCATTTGCGGGGGAACTATTTTCATTAAGTCCGCCATTGTATTTGAAAGCTATGTTTTGATTGGTTAGATTTCATGCGCAAACTCCGCTCCTTAGATACAGTAATGGCCGCACAAATATTTGATTTTTGCATGTACAAATGTAGGTTCTATTTTACTATGAAGAACATTTTTTTATATACAAAATTCGAGAGTTATTATTACAAGTATCAGATACTTATATGTGCTTTATTGAAAAGTTGTAAATTTCCTTTGATTTTGTTTTTTTTTGTGAGTACTGTAGAGATCTAGATCTATCCATTGTAATTCTTGACACTTTTGGGCATAAATCTTTAGACGGTTAAAGCAGCATGCCCTCAGATTTATGCAAATTTTCATATTATAAAAAACAAAAATGTTTTTATTTTTTAAAGTAAAATATTGTGAAGTAAACAAAAAAAGTAATGCACAGTAGAAATATGCTGATTAATTCTACAAAATCAGTCCTTAATCGCAAATAGCATTTAAATTATTACATTATCTTTTTACTTTTCTTAAAATCTTAGTTCATTGTTCTCAAGATTAATTTTTTTGAAATGTTTTGGCTCATCTGTCAGGCATGTAGCATTAAGACGGTTTTATTTTAGACCTTGAAAGAAATAATGTGGTCATAAAAAAAGGAATACTCTACATCTAGTTTAGTGGGTAAAGTTAAACAAATTACAATATTAGCGCACACTTGCTTCCCTCTCAACCCTGCTTTTTTACATGTTTATATTCAAAACTTCAACAAATTTGAACTAAATTCAGAATAACACTAAGAATGGAAAGCATAGTTATTAAAATGCACCAACACTCATTTAGTTCTGTGGTCCACTAAAGTAGATTTTATCACCTAAGATTTTACTGCAGTAGATTCTAGTGAAAAATAAATTTAGAGTTCTTTATATTTAGCTAAATACTGTTTTTTTCAGTACCTAAAATTGAGATCTGTTGGTTTGAATGCTCAAGAAAATTGCTCTGTATTTGAGTTACATCAATTTTTCTTAATTTGAAATTAGGACTAAAGTTCAAATACAGATCAGACCTTCTACTTTGTAGATCCAGTATTAACAAATGAACATTTATATTGGATAGATATTTTGACATTGTTGTAACATTATTTTTTTCATTTGATTTTTTTTTTCATTTCATTTCTTTTATTTAATATATTTTCAGACAAAGAAGACGTTCTAGATCTAGGTCTTACTCTAGGTCTAGGCGTCCCAGGTCAAGGTCCAGGTCTAGATGTACCAGGGACAAGTGCCATTCCAATAGGTCTAGAGGTCCTAGTCCCAGGTCGAGATCTAGATGTACCAGGGACAAGTGCCATTCCAATAGGTCTAGATGTCCTAGTCCCAGGTCGAGATCTAGATGTACCAGGGACAAGTGCCATTCCAATAGGTCTAGGACCCCTAGTCCTCATCGGCCTAGGAATATTAGACCTAGTAGTAGTGGTACTAGTTCTTCGGTCATCAAGATAGACCGGACATCAACACCTGCAAGAGAGAAGGTGCCTGTATTACTAGATCAGCTCAACGAACCAGAATTCCCTGAGCTGTTTGGTACACAGTAAGTACTTTATATAATGTCTTTGAATAAAAAATAATTACATTAATGTACCTTTAACATTTGATTTCACTCAGGACTTTATTCTATTAATGTTCTATTAATAACATAACTTTTTTTTTTCTTTTAGTTGGTTTTTCAATTGAATATTGTTTTAAGAAATTTTATGTATGACAATAGGTCCTTTCCTCCATGTTTTTTCTACAAAAATAACCCATATGAATATGAAATAAAGAAAGCAATGCATACATGATTATGAATTGCCAGATCAAAATGTTTTAAACTGATTTTTTTCTAAAGTTTACAGAAAAGGGCCTGTTGTCACACTCATTATTGTTTTATTGCTATTGTGAAACTTAGATTTATACTAAACATTTCTATTATTGTTTTACCAGCCTCACAAATGAGATGATCTGGCAGATGGAGGAATGGCGTCTAGAGGCTGAAGAGCATTTTGACTTCAGTCTCCTGCTGTCTAAAAATAGCAAGGACAGCAGTAAGAAAGGTGCTCATCTCAATTATATTATCATGCCTTTTATGTTTTATTTCAGAACTTCACCAGTGTCAGATGGATAAATTATCATTATATTTTCTCACATGTTGCAATATATTCTGAACACAAGATTTATTCAGATGTTATTTTTCTGATTCATATAATTTTCATTTGAAAATATGCATTCTATATATTTTTATATTTTACTAAATATTTCCATCTTTTTTTCAGGTATTAAACTGTTAAGACTTACTAACTCCACAAACAACAAATTTATAATTTTCATGCCATATGTGAAGTATGCTGGCCTTTACAAGATTGAAGTGAATTTAAGTGTAGTAATTATTATTTTATAAAAATATCTTTAAATTAAACATGAGTTACTACATATTTCAGTGAGCCGCAAGCGTGGTAGGGACGATGATACAGATTGGTACCCTGCTGCAAAACGGCCCGCCATCCAAGTCAACCCAAGTCATCCCAACTTTCGGAGGTATTTTTACTAGTTTGTTATTTTAGTGTAGTAATGCTGTAGGGGGTGTAGGGTAGTTAGTTGTTTTTATCCAATGATGTTGTCAATAACCCTCAAGTTTGTAATTTCACCAGTTTTCTGAAATTTTATCCGTATATCCAGTTATATTTTGGAGCAAATACTAAGTTAAATCATCGGGATCAGTTTTTTTTATCACATATAAGTAGCAACGATTTAACCTGAAAACATCAACTTCTGCAAACCCCCTTATGATCTGTTTTATAAGTACTTTGAGAGGCATGTTCATTCAAAGTGGCAATTTTTGTTTTTAACATGATTGATTGATTTGGTTTGCAAAGTACATAGATCCTTTCAAGCTTTATTGTTGAGGAAAACATGTCTCAGTGCCCACCCAGGTGCACCCCATGTGGATAGCTGCCACACATAAAATAAAACATAGCCCCTGGCAGGATTCAAACGCACTGTAGTGTAGTAAGGGGAAAAGTGGTTTTATGTAGACAGCCTGCTTCAAGTAGAAACAGAAATTTTAGCTTGCAGTGGATTTGTTGATAATTTCATTCTCATTTAAACTTTGATCACTTTTTCTATAAAGAAATCTTCAGTGTCTATTCATCATTTATAATTTTATTCTCAGTTATTCTTAATATTAAAGCACTGGCAATATATAAGATACATACATGTACCTGATTGAAGATACATGGTAATATCATTTTACTGAAACTTGATTTTATCAATTAGTTCAAATGTAATTTTACTAGAAAACAGAAATTTAAACCAGGAACATTTTTTATAATGATACATGTAATTCTGATTATTCTCTCTTGTTTTGTTTATGCTAAAAAAATAATGCATTCTTATCTTTGCACAAATTGCTGTATTCTTTGTTGCTTTTTCACTGACTTTTTAAGATATTATTTAAGGCACCTTGCTATTTTTTTAAGTAAGATCTAAGAGCCATTACTCTTCTTTCATTTTTCTTAGAGTTAAATCCCTTTCTAAATTTAGATTTGAATTATGACTAAATGTTTTAAATATTCAGCACAGGTTAATGGGGGTTTATAACACAGTAAAAGTTGTTGCTTTTTGTGTGTTTGTATCAACTTTTTTGTTTTGAACATCATTTGAAGACATTGTTTAAATTAATTTAAATATGAATTTTCAATTTTTTTAAACATTTTGGGTTTATTGAATTCATTGGTTTAAATAGTAGATATTAGCTACAGGGGGGGTTTTGGGGGTTTTTAGTTTATTATATTTTGAACTTAAAAAAAAATATGATGTGATGGTATAACTTTTAGAATTTTTATATTAAATTTGTGGTAAAGGGTTTACGGGCGCTTGGGGAGGGTTTGGAGGCCCTTTTAAAAATTTAATATTTATGAGGTTTAAGAAATGTGTACGGTCACTAAAATTTAATAGTGTTATTATATCTTTATGGGAAAAAGGTTGTCGGACGCTAGTAAGGGGAGGTTGGAGGCCATTTTTTAGTTAGTGTTATATATTTATGAGGTACTTAAGTATGATGTGACTGGTCACTAACCATTTAGATAGTGTTATTATATTCTATTAGTGGTAAAGGGTGGTACGGACAGCTATAAGGGGAGGTTGGAGGCCGTTTTAGTTAGTGTTATATATTTATGAGGTACTTAAGTATGATGTGACTGGTCACTAACCATTTAGATAGTGTTATTATATTCTATTAGTGGTAAAGGGTGGTACAGACAGCTGAAAGCGGAGGTTGGAGGCTGTTTTAGTTAGTGTTATATAATTATTCTAAAGGTAACTAAAGTATGATGGTAAAAGCAATTAGAGAGATCAGATACCATTAAGAGAGTGTTATTATATTCTGTTAGTGATAAAGGGTGGAATGGACGGCTTTAAGGGGAGGTTGGAGGCCGTTAAGATGGTTAAATTATTTATAATTGGAAGTGAATAGTGGTATGAATGACTTATGAGATGTCTGGGGCCATTTTACTTTCAAAGGAGTATCCATACAGATCTAGCTTATAATACAGATCTCAGTTCCATGATAAAAACCATTGATAGGTATATTTCTGCTTTTTTGTTTAGAAGGAATAAATTGACACAGACAGTGCATGTGTGATTATGTTTAGATGGGTTAAGACTTTGTTTGAGGCAACAACTGTTGCAGTATCTCAGTGATTTAACCAATGCTGCACATTTAACGAGCCATCACTTATATGCGGCACTATTCCTCTCCTTTTTGAGCATATATTATCCCCCATCCCCTTTCTTTTAATACCCACCAGAATATTTCTTTGCTTCTCAATACTAGAAGTAGGAGAGGGTCTCTTAGAATATTCTTTGAATATATAGAAGTCTCATGCGGTCTGACTAGAAGAGATGCTGGATAGTGTCAGTAGAGTTTCAGTAGTTTTGAAGTAAGAAAAACAATGATCAGCAAACTTCTAGCAGGAAAATGAAATATCAAAGCAGTCTTTCAAATAGAGAACTGCATCAGAAGTCTTAGAAGTAGAAAGTTGGTTATAGGCCCGCATGGAAGATCGGGAAACTGAATGTGTTAGCCTCGTTAAATAAAGTCGTTACTTACTTACTCACTCACTCACTTACTTTGAAACAGTGGAAATATCAGTTTTATATCACTGATATATTTCTATAAACCACCGAAAAGCATGTAATTAACAGTAGTATATTATATGAAAAACAGACATATAAGAATTGCTGTTATTGAGGTAGAAAAAAGATAAACAGTTTTGTTATTGAAATAAAAAAAGAGTCAGTTCAACCAGGGGATTCTCCCGGAATAGGTTTTGAACACAGAGAAGTAGTTTGTCCATAATGTGTTAACCAAGTTCAGCATCAAGGTATTATTATGTTATAGGTAGTTGCTGAAAAAGGTTAAAACTGTTTTTAATATGCAGGAAGAAAGTATTAACACTGCAAAATATGAGGCAGAGTTATGGTTCTTGTGCACTGCACTTCTCCACTATTAGATCTATCTGTCTTCAGTAGAAACTAGTTTTCTTACAGTTGGAGTTACATTGTTGACAAAAATTAAGTATGAAAAAGACAAAGGCTGTTAATACTTACAAGTTATAATGTGCACAGTTACGGTTCTTGTGCACTGCTCTTCTACTCGATGAAATCTATCTATCTTCTAAGTTTCTTTTTGATACCTCTCTTGGTTTCTGGGTTGTGTCCAAGACAAAGTTCAAAGTGTAAAAATTATAAAGGGCAATAACTCTAAAATTAAGCAAGGCAGAGTGAAGGTTCTTGTGCAGTTCACTTTTACTAATGAGATCTATCTACCTACAAAGTTTCTTGATATCGCTTTAGGTTTCAGAGTTAGTCCCGGTCACAGTTCAAAGTGTAAAATGAAAAAAAAGGGCAATAAGTCCAAAATTAGGTGAGGCAGAGTTATGGTTCTTGTGCACTGCACTTGTTTACCTACTAAGTTTCTTGTTGATACCTTATGTAGTTTCAGACTTGTGTCCCGGACAAGAAAATGCAGACGGATGGAAAGGCAGCGACTTTATAGAGCATAAAAAAGGACCAGCAATTATACTTGAAGTAAGAAAAAATGGATCAGCAATATTGAAGTAGAAAAAAAAAAGATCAGCAGTATTTGAAGGAGAAAAAAATGATCATCTGTATTTGATGTGGAAAAACCAATTGACATATTTGAAGTAGAAAATGGATCAACAATCTACAGTATTTGAAGAAGATAAAAAGAGATCAGCAGTATTCAAAGCAGAAAAAAAACATACTTGAAGTGGAAAAACGGATCAGCAGTATTTTTGGTGTAGAAAAATGGATCTGCATATATGAAGTAGAAAAATGGATCAGCAGTATTTGATGTAGAAAAATGGATCAGCATATTGAAGTAGAAAAAATGGATCTACAATCTACAGTATTTGAAGAAGATAAAAAGAGATCAGCAGTATTCAAAGCAGAAAAAGCATACTTGAAGTGGAAAAACGGATCAGCAGTATTTGGTGTAGAAAAATGGATCAGCATATTGAAGTAGAAAAAATGGATCAGCAGTATTTGATGTAGAAAAATGGATCAGCATATTGAAGTAGAAAAAATGGATCAGCAGTATTTGATGTAGAAGAATGGACCTGCGTATTGAAGTACATGAAGTAGAAAAATGGATCAGCAGTATTTGATCAATGATGTAGAAAAATGAATCAGCATATTGAAGTAGAAAAAATTGATCTGCAGTATTTAATGTAGAAGAATGGATCAGCATATTGAAGTAAAACAAAATGGATCAGCAGTATTTGATCAATGATGTAGAAAACTGGATCAGCATATTGAAAAAAAATGGATCAGCAGTATTTGAAGTAGAAAAAGAGATCAGCATACTTGAAGTACAAAAACAGATCAGCAGTATTTGGTGTGGAAAAATGGATCAGCATATTTGAAGTAGAAAAATGGATCAGCAGTTTTTGATTCAGAAAATGGATCAGCAGTTTAGAAGTAGAAAAAAATGGATCAGCAGAATTTTAAGTAGAAAAAAGGATCAGCATATTTGAAGTAGAAAAAATTGATCAGCTGTAATTGAAGTAAAAAAATGGATCACCAGAATTTGAAGAAGGAAAAATGGATCAGCAGTATTTGATGTAGCAAAATAGATCATCTTGTTTGAAGTTGAAAATGGGTCAGCCATATTTGAAGTAAAAAAAAAGAGAACAGACAGCATATTTGAAGTAGAAAAAAAGAATTAGCAGTATTTGAAGTATATAAGAAAATTAGCAGTATTTTAAGAAGAAAAGACTCAATCAGCATGTTTGATGTAGAAGAAAAAGGATCAGCATTTTTGTTGTAGAAAAGTGATCAGATTTATGAAGTAGAAAAAAAATGGATCAGCAGTATTTGATGTTGAGAAAAATAGATCAGCATATTTCAATTTGAAGTAGAAAAAATAGATCAGCAATTTTAGAAGTGGAAAAAAATGGATCAGCAGAATTTGAAGACTTAAAAAATTGATCATCATATTTTAAGTAAAAAAATGGATCAGCAGTATTTGAGGTGGAAAAAAAATGGATCATCATATTTGAAGTAGAAAAAATGGATGAGCAGTATTTCAGGTAGAAAAAAAATGGATCAGCAGTATTTGAAGTACATGTAGACAGAAAAGAATCAGCAATATAAGTAGAGAAAAAAAAGATTAGCATATTTGATGTAGAAAAATGGATTAGTAGTATTTG